GAAAACTTGTAACGCGAAGATCATAAGAGAAAACAGGAAGGAAACGAGGCTCCTAAGCATTTCCTGCATGAGAAAGGTTGTCTGTGTTGCCGCTCTTGCATGAGAAAGGTGTAAGTGTAGCACTTTTTTCTTACGATGCCGATGGTATCTACTCCAATAACCTGGTCCGCATCGAGCCTGCGCCGAAAACCCGAGAGCGGCAGGTCCACGTCATCACGGGGTGCGACGGATGGATGCCGCACACAGACCCCAACGGCGTCAGCACTGGGAGTCTCAACTTTTTGAACAAGCTCGGAGCGAAAGGGACCACCGAAAACGTGGCATTAGAATTCCGCTTGGGCGCTGGAGCGGGGCACGTGCTGCAAGTCTTCGATCTGCAGATCGACGCCCTCGTTCCCAGTCGCAGAAGTAGAGCTCTTTCGGAACAAGATCGCGCACTGGAGGAAGGTAAAATAAACAAGCAAGGTGGAAGTCGAGACGGAACAACATCAGGAACACCGTTAGCGCGACCAGGAGGACCACCATCTTCGCTCTCTTCTCAGCAAAAAGCGAACAACACGGCGAGCAGCTCCACGGCTGTTCCTGCAACTGTCGTGAATCAAGAGCCACAAGCTGGACGACGGTCGCGACGAGTTGATGAAGATCGCGACAACGAGCAGGGAAAGACCAATACTAAAGCGTCGATGAAAGGTGGAACAAAATCCAAAGGAAAAGGTGGCCCACCAAGTGCAAGTGCGAGAGAACAATTATCCGGAGTCGGGAAGGAGGAAGCTGGAACTTCATCAGCATCTTCCTTCTATGGCGACGGAGGTGGACAAGAAGACCGAAAGCTATCCATGGATCAGCTTCCCCGCGGCGGAATGGAAAGGCGGGATGAGTATGAGATGTGAGAAGTGGAGGTGGAGTTGTTCATCTTCGAGTTGTTGGTCCTGCGGACGAAAAGTTCCTAGTCCTACACGTCGGTGCTATGAATCGACGTCCTGGTCGTGAGCCTCCATCTGATTTGTAATTTCTGATGAATCTGATTTTGAAGCAGCACAGTTACCTACTGAAACAAAAACATCTACTCCACGACGGAACAATAAGCATTTGATAAAGCAAGAAGTGTATGAACAACTTTAAAAAATGATCATGATTGGGAACAAGCGCGAAAATAAAAGCAAAAAGAAACAAAGGACGTGGCTTCCTTTCATGATCCTGTTCCTCACCCTTGCTCGTTATGTTGAGCCTAGATTAGAAGAACGACGGGCCGTGACCCTACTGATGAAATGATGAGCGTTGCACTCCATCGATGTTCATCTCGAATAAAGCGGACGTAGTTGTTCCAACTCACTGGTGAAAATAAATGCACTTAAATGATGCTGGATCAACAAACAATCTTCATGGTGGATAAGAATGCCATTAGTACAACACATAGGAAATACGAGGATCTGAATTGCTTGTGATATAATTCGGGACAAGATAATCGATGGACCGTCTCTGGGCCCGCCAATCATGCGAACAAATGACCATCGCATTGATCTGTAATCATAATCTTGTACGTAAATCCTACGAAGAAGAAGACCTTCATGAAATTATGATGTTCCTTTCCGTTTATCTTCTAAAATATGCAGCCCATAATGGTTACCGGTGCTCGTTTTGATCCACTTTGTCGTGCAAAAATTTATTCATGTCTATGTTGTTTTTCCATGTCCAGGATCAGGCAAGTGCAAGTAGGCAAGTTCACAACGGCTTGAAAAATTTTGAACTGGAAAGTTGCAGCATTTGATGTTGATGAACGAAGTTTCATACTACATTTTTAGCTGGAAAGCGAAAGTTGCACTGGAAAGCGAAAGTTGTCACCGGAAGAAGTAAGAAGTAAATACAACAAGTTGAGCGAGCAGAAGCAGTACCACTTTCTCCGAGTATCGCAAACTTCCAGCTGAAGAGTGGCGGGTGCTGGCTTTCGAAGTCCGGCGACCCCGTTCCCAGCTTCCTACTGAAGTTGTCCCCGGCGAAAAAGTATGCACTGCAAAAGTATCGTACTCGTATAAATGCATTAGCATTACGAATTTCCTCAGCATGAGAAATAAAATTTGTATATGCGAATTTAGCTTCAGAAAAAAATTTGTATTACAAATTTTTTTTTGGACGGAGCCGGGTGGGCGGGTGACGCGGACACGCCAACCAAGCCAACTTCTCATCCACCCGGCCGGGTGGATGAGAAGTTGGCCGGCAACTACCTGCAGGAGGTTTGTTACCCCACTCTAATGCATGATTGCAATACGAGTGCGACACTTTTGCACAGGATAAAAAGCTCGCGAGCCTTCGCCTCTACAATTTTCGGGCGGGCTATGGAAGTGTCAGAATCGAAATTGACAAAGTCGAAAAATTTGCGATGCACAAAATCGATGTCAGTTGGAGCCTCAGTTTCCAATTGGCGCGTGGCAAATTTTGGGAGCACTCAAATCCAGTCTGTCATGCTATTTCAGCAAAGTAGAGTCCTCCTGTCATGCTACTCTGGCAGCACATTGTATACCCCTAAACAGGCCTACAATCGGTCTCATTTGCCTGCTCCCCAATACAGGCCTCCAGTGCCCTACATTTTATGCATCGCAAATTATTTCGATTTTGTTAATTTCGATTCTGACACTTCCATACGGGAAGAAGTAAGAAGTAAATACAACAAGTTGAGCGACCAGAAGCAGTACCACTTTCTCCGACTACGGATTGGAAAGGCGGGATGGAAGCAGTACCCATAACGGAATGGAAAGGCGGGATGAGTATGAGATGTAAGAGCTAGAGTGTATCAAATGCAAATATGTCTGGGTCTGGTTCTGGAAGGTTGCAACTTGTCATGGTAATTCTGAAGCATGCAAAAATCTGTGTTGCATGAGTGCCCAAAGCTGTCCACTTTTGACCAAGATGGAAGGCAGTTTCTCATGCAGGATAGGCATGGAAGAGACCCCGCAGAGTCTGTCAGGCTAAGCCCCGCATTCCACACCTCATGGGTCATGGAGAATCTGCATGACAAGTTTACACTTTTCCAGAGCCAGACATTTTTGCACTTGATAAGTGGGAGTTCGAGTTGGTGGCTTTGTGGACCACGACGACAAGTTCCCACACGGTAGATGAACTCCTGAATCGACCTCCAGTTGGTCCATCTTTGCAGAAGTTTTTGATGAATGTTAAGATTTGATGCAGCAGCACACTATTAACCTAATCGTAAGCTGCAACTCGTCCACGACAGAACAAAATAGAATGCGAATAGCATGAGCAGAATGCTGTTGTGTATGTACTAGGAGCTCACGTTGTACGAACTGTACAGATTTGATGAATCCAAGCAGCTGTGGGTAAAAGGAAACAAAAGACGTGGGAGGTTCCTCTCATCTTCCAATTCCTCGCCCTCGCTCTTCATGGACCCAGAATGAAGGGCCATGAGCATGACCCTAGGAGCCCTACTGAAACGATCGTTGTTGAATTCTATGGATGTTCATCTAGACAGCGGACCTAGTTCCAAATGGTGAAAATAAATGCTGCACACGACGGAACTACCAATCTGATAAATCTTCATGGATACGAATGCTAAGTGTATATGCATACATAGGAGAAGCTGAATCGTCAAGATGAGGATCTGAATTGTAATACACTCGGGACAACTACAAGATGATCGACGGACCTTCTTGGGGCCCGCGGCCTCAGCCAGCCAGCCCCGGGCAAATTCGGGCCAATAAACTCAGCGTAAAAAAGCACTAATGTAAAAGCTGGGTCGGGTTTCGTCTCGTTGGTTTTGGGCATTGGCTGGTCAGGGGTTGGCTTTGCCGGAATTCCCGAAGCGCGTCGCGCGGAGTCCGCGGGGGGGGGAAACTTTGCCCGGGGGCCCTGCTCTTTTGGTGTGTGGCCCGCGGGTGCCGCGTTTGGGTTCTGTGAGTGCCCATTGCGAGGGTGCAGCCCTTCCCTGTGCCGTGCCGAAATTCCCCGGCTTCTCGCCGGGGGCGGGCCTTGTCGGGTTGCTTCTCGGGCGGTGTTTTCGTGGTCGTGTTGCTCGGCCCGGGGGCCTGATTTTGCCGCGGCTCTTCCCCCGGGGCTTCAGGGGGTAGGACGTCGCCCGCCGAGACATTGGGAGCCGACCCCGGCCAAGCGCGCGGCCTTTGTTTGGTAGCGGCGCTCTTGTGAGCCAATGGGGGTCGAGGGTTTTTGCAGAGGGGGCGGCAGGACTTGCGACTTTTTTCGCATGATCCCGCGGCCTGACCTCTGCAATAATTTTTGCAATAATCTATGCAATAAAAATTGCAATAAAATTTGCATTAATTTCAAAACAAGGCGAAACATGAGGGAAATCGCGCCCCCCATAAATTAATGCAAATTTTAATGCAAAATTAAACCACAAACTAAACAAAATTTACACCACAAATTAACACAATAAGCACAGTGGAGACCCAATTTGGGGAAAGCGCAAAAGTCGCAATGTTTTGGGTGTGGGTTGCCAAGCAACCGGGGTGGCCCAGGGTTTTTGTTTTTGGGCGGAATTTTTAGGGTGTAGGCCTTTTTGGCGCAGCCTACGGGCCACTTGCAGTGGTTTCGTTTGATCTTCGGCAAGGTTTGTGCTTGGTTTCCGGTTTGTGTTATGCCAACGCCGCCCCCTGTGTTGCATATTGTAGACAGGGCCCCGTGGGGGGCTTGGTTTTTCCCATTCCTTTGCCGGGTCCTGTTTCCGCTTCGTGATCTGGCGCAGAAGCCGGGGGCGCGATGGGCCCACAGGCCTGCGGCCTTTGCTGTCCTCGCGGGCCCGCGGCCAATGCCTGTGCTCGCCCCCTGTCTGTTTGGACCGCGCGCCGCGCCTTCCCCCTGGCCATTCGCGCCGGCACTTTGGCGCGCTTCTTTTGCCCCCCTCCCGCTTTTAGATTAGTGCTGTTTTACACCAATTTCAAACCGGGTAGCTTGCCCGGGGCCGGCAGCCTGAGCGGCCAATCATGCGAACAAATGGCGATCGCATTGATCTGTAATCTTGTAAATCCTATGTATGAAGATCTTCATGAAATTATGTTCCGTTCCGCTTATCTTCTAATATGCAGCCCATCATGGTTACCGGTGCTCGTAGTTTTGCTCCACTTTGTCGTGCAAAATTTCATACCTATACTAAGTACTTCTTATGTTGTTTTTCATCTCGTCCAGGACCAGGCTAGCGCTAGTAGGCGAGTACGCTTTAAAGAACTTGAGAAATTGAAATATTGAGCCGGAAAGTTGCAGTTGCACTTGATGTTGATGAACGAAGTTCTTCTTGTAGCTAGTACATCATTTTGAGCTGGAAAATTAATGGTCGCACTTGATGTTGTCACCGGAAGAAGTAAGAAGTAAATACAACAAGTTGAGCGACCAGAAGCAGTACCACTTTCTCCGACTACAAAAGTTCATTGAAAAATTGCCAAAAGCAGGTTTATCCATGGCAGCGCCCGGAGCTGGACGAGCCGCCGCGGGTGGTGGAACCAAGAAAATGAAGATGATGAATAACAAATCTTCTTCCACGACCGGAGCAACCGTTGGAGCCACGACCTCCAAGGGGACTACAAATAAGAAGAAGACCTCCTCTTCCTCTGTCACGAATATAAAAGGGAAGCAAAGCAAAAACTCAACTGCCACCTCTTCCAACAAGAAGAAATTAGGCGAGCAGTTTCGGAACAGCGATCTGACGCATATGGTGTTCTCAAACGTTACATTCTCAACTGTTACATGAATCTGTAATGCAAGAATGGCAAAAGCCAAAGGAGGAAGATTGCAAAAATTGCATTACCAATCCCGCACAGATTTAGGTGGTGTGTAGCCCTTCGCAAATTTGTCATGCGAAGCAGCTTGATCTTGTGGATGATGATGGTAGTTTTGCATGACAAATTCATGTAACAGAGGAGAATGTAACGCTTGAGAACTCCATAACGCAGGCGGTTTGCCAAGACTTGTCGGAGGGCAAGAAGCACGCCAAGGAGACGGGCGCACCAAGCGGAACAAAGACCAGTAAAGCTGCTCCAGGAGGAGGAGCAAGTGCAACAAATGCAAATGGTACCGCAACAGCACAACCAACACCGAGCGATGCGCTGTCTTTCATGTTTGGTGGTGGGGGCCGCAGCACTACGGCTGCAATTGGAAATAAACCAAATACAACCAGCAAAAATCAGCTCCTGGATGTGGGGTACAATGGGGCGGAAATGACCTTGCAGTTGCTCGACCAACGGCAGCGGCAGGCGTCCCTGCGGTTCGGCTGGGTCCGTCACCCGGAGATGCAGAAGAAGTGCGCCGAATTTCTCGTCAACCACTGCAAACTGGCGAAAACCGCGAGGCTGAAGGTGAAGGAGAACTATCCTCTGCAAAAGTATCGTACTCGTAGTAATTGCATTTCTGCATTACAAATTTATTTTTCAAGGTAAATCAGCATTACAAATTTAATTTGTAATGCTAAGTCAATTTGTAATGCAATTTATACTAGTACGATACTTTTGCAATGCATAAGAACGCCGGGAACACCATGTTTAAAGCGTCCTTTGCGCAATTGGAGGAATTTGAAAAGGAGTTGAAGGAATTCGTCTTGGAGGGGAAAACACCGGGGGCTACCAGTGCTAGTAGTGCGAATGGTTTTTTGATGAAGTCGAACCCTTCGTCCAGCACAGGAAATGCAACCGCTTCTATTTTCACGACGCCTGCGCCGGGGAGCATTTTCTCTTCAGCAGGAACAGCACCAGGAGGTGCTGGAGGACCGATGAAGTCGATTTTCTCATCCGCTGCTGCTGGTACTACTGCGGGCACTGCGACGGCATTGGCGACAGCTCAAGCGCCTAGTAGTAGTACTTCTGGTCCTGCGAAGACCTCCCGTGCGGAAAAGCTGTTGCGGAAAATTCGGGGCGGAGGTAGTGGAACCAATAAATCGATCTTCAAAAAGCAGGACTTCACTGTGAGGCGCGAGATTTGCCCGCAGAAGGCGAGTGAGCTGTTCAAGTTAACGTGTAAGAAAGAGAAAGAAGAGGCGTTGAACAAGGGGAATAAAAGTGCGAAGACGAACAAAGCGTCTGTGAAATTGCAGAAGTTGCGCGCAGCTCAGGGAGGAAAGAAGACGGCGGTGCGGAAACGACGGTAGAATGGCGAGATGGGCTGTTATATCAGTAGGAACAGAAAGATGAAAAACTCGCACGATAAGCAAAAAAGGTTCAGGTTGAGCAAGGCGTGCAAGAAATTGAATTTCGTTGTGGAGTCGAAAAGGACGCGACGCCAATTGTGCCCTGGCTGATGTCCTCTTTCGTGATCTTCAACTTTACTAAATTGAAATCCTGATTTGAGAATTTATACGCGACATCATCATCAAAACAACAACGTGAACACCTTGGTACAACCTCTGCAACGCACCAAATCCACCAACTCTTTCCTTTCGAACGAAAAAAACGAAAATTGCAAACACGACATTATTGGACCGATGTGTAGAAGAGCGCGGCGATGTCCCTGTCGGTGCTTGGTTCATTGCTGCGAGAATGTACTACATTTAGGTATAGTATGTAGTTCTGCAGCCTGCTGCGCTGCAAATGTTGTGTGCCAGCACCCCGGGCCCGGCGCCGGCTCTACTTTGTTTCGGTTTCAACAGTTGCCGTCGGTCCTCAGACACGTCTACCAATTCGACTCCGTTACCGGTGTTGCCACAGTCATGTACTATCCGAGACTCGGACGCGTCGGGATTCGCTTGTACTGCCTCGGTGCTACTCTCGTTCTCATCGGTAATTGGCACACCAGGGATTGATGTTTATAGCCACCAGCAGCAGCAACAAGAAGAAAAAAGTTGTCAAAGCTCTACAAGGAACAACAGGAAAGTTCTGAAGCTCGTTGTATTTGCTTGTGCCGGCTGCTCATGTAAAAACAAAAGCATTTGACAAAATGAGAGATTTTTTAGAGTCTAAGGCCGGGGCCGCCCCCTTTTGCCCGTGATTCCCTTTCACAACTGTTAGTGCCACCCAGTCATTCGAGGTAGATACTTACTACTTTTTTTTCCGTCCTCGCGTTATCGTGTAAATATTAATTCTTGGTCCAGCACCACCGCCCGAAGCTGAAGATAATACCGTACTAGCAAAAACATTTATCACTCTCCCATAATCCATCATGCGTCCCCTGAAGAACGACCCCCTGTACACGGTCGTGCGGCCAATCCCGACGATTCTCAGCCCCGAGGCGGTGGTTGCGAAACTGGAAGACATTGCCAAAAACACCGCTTTCCCGATACCCGGATCCATACCACAGATGCAGTTCGACGCAGCAGTCGGTGCTGTAGTTGCCAGCAACGGCGCAACTTCATCACCCTCCAGTGGTGGAGGTCAAAGACAGCAGACCAACGGCATCATTGTCGAGTTTGAGGAAAATGCGACCGTTTTTGACCAGGCCATTGTGTTGAAATGGTGCGACATCAGCGTGGCTCGCGCGATGCACGGGACGCATAGTTTGAGATTGGAGTCCGGGCATGTGATTGACGTGCACGTTTTTCAGTACCAGGGGAAGAAGTGCGGCTGCTGCTCGATGCTGAGGGATTGATGTAAGTAGAAGTAAAACGCACAGCTGCTGCCTGGATTATTTTGATTGACACACGTTCACCTTCACGAAGACGAACAAGACCAGCAGTTGTATGAATTTGTTCCTGCTTGGTTGTGGTACTCTTTTTTACTCATACTCGGAAAGCGGTGGAGGCAAAAGAAAAAGCAATTAGAAGGATCGTGGTCGTGCTGCAATCATAATCGAATGAGTAACGAGGGTGCAAGTGTTCGCGTTGTTCGAGCTAGGATTTATGCCAGATCGCTCTCCGCTCGTCGGTGTCTCCCTCGTCAGCGCCGTCGTTTTCGCTTTAGAAAAACTACTAGAGCCGGATCGTTTCTTCTTGGCATCCACATTCTGTATATTGCAAGCGCGAACAAGCGTCGTTTTGTGCTTGGTGGAGTCGTCCAGTAGAGAGAAGTACAACGAGATGAACAGTTCGGGTTCGTTTTCGTTGCAATTTTATCGAGAGTTGATATAGAAGGGAGCGACTAAGAGTCTTGCAAGCAATAGATGCTATATCGTTGAGCAGGTTCACGAAAACAAAAGCCAAAGCGGTCGCAATCAGGAGAAATTACGATTACACTAGATTGCTCTCTCTGAAGGAAAAGGGAAAAAAACGATTCAACACACCCATCGCGTAAAAGATCATCACGCGTATCTGCACCTTGATTGCTGATTATTAGGTCTGTGAGGTTCAAGGAACCTGCTGTCTGAGTCCGTTGGAACTTACTTCCAGTCTACATCTAAGTCCGCATAAGTTTTTCACGCCCCCACGGCAAGAAGTCAGCAAAGATGCCGAACCAAGCACAGGAGCCTGCGAAGCTGACTGACACGCAGATGAAGCTGAAAAAGGTATCCTGAGTAAAAACGTACCCACACCAGAGTTGTAATGCAGATTTGCAAAGACAGGAAGACTTGTAATGCGTATCCCCACGAGAGCCATTGCCAATCGTGTTTTGGAATTTGTGATGCTGTGAACAGGATGAGCAGATGAATCTGTGACGCGGCTGCACTTGCTAACCTGCACTACACTGCAGAGTGCAACTTGTCATGCGTGACTCACAAAACTCCTAGGTTTGTGTTGCAAAATCCCCATCCTGACTCTGGTGTGGGTACGTTTTTACTCAGGATAAAAGGCGATTTACAGCGGACACACGCTGGTCGGTCCCTGGGTAGACAAACGGTAAGGTTATTGATGTGGTGATGGTGCTGTTTGCGCTGGAAAAATGCATGGCAAATTATAGGTAAAACTGATGCAACACTAAATCGTTTCGCAATGAATGATGTTTCTCTTATTTCTCATGCGTGGGAGCATGACAGGCATACTCTATCATTGCAAAATTGCATGACAAATCAGGATGGACAAGCAGTTTCAGCACGACTACCGTGTGCGGAAGTTGTACTCCTTGCCTGGGAAAGCCGCTTCGACGTTTATGGATGAACAGAGATTTTCTTTTTCAACTCGACATAGCATGTCTGCTGATGCATCTCAGACGCAGACCGGGTTTGTCATGCAGAGCACCCATTCCAAGAAAATGAACATGAAGTCGTGTCTATTTGTGATGCGCGTCAAGAACGGCATGATAGAAAGAAGAAAATCTCCGTATGCATACTCCTCACGACGACAAACTCCGGGTATGGTGAATTTGCCGCCAATATCAAATGCAGAAGTGTCTGGGTCTGGAAGATTGTAACTTGTGATGTTGTCTTCGAATTATATTCGAAAAAAATCTGTATTGCATGAGGAGCAAAGGAAGTCCAGTTTGTTGTACAAGGGGAGGGCATTTCTCATGCAGAATAGGCATCAGGAATCCCTCACCCTCTAAAAATCAGTGATGCCAGGTTATGCATCACAGGCATGATGGGATGGGTCATGCAAAACATGCATGACAAACCTGGAAAGAACCATCCAGACCCAGACATTTTTGCATTTGATAGCCAAGGAAATGATCGATTCCAACACGAAGATTCGGGACATTGACACCTACAAGCGCGACGACCTGGGTCCCAAGGACGAGTACTACAAGAGTCAGACGGTATAAAAGTTGATTTTGTTTTTGTTCCTCATGCAGAGGCGTGCATGACAGATATGATTTTTCATCCTTGTGCTGGATGCATGACATCAAATCTGATCAAATCAGCACTCCGCCCACGCGGATCCGCGCACGATGAAACCGCCGGAGTACGAGTCCGAGTTCGATAGTAGGAAGAGTAAAATGATTTGTCATGCGGGAAACGCAAACGCGCCTTGCATTCATATGGTGTCCCTGCATTACAAAGTCGTATCTTCAGTAGTTGCGACTCGTGTCATCATGGGTTCTTTCTCGCATGACAAAGAACAAAGAGGAAATAAATGCAAGCGATTTGGATTTGTCATGGGGGAAATAACGCACACGTTGCTTATGCTTGCATATGGTATCTCTGCATTACAAACTTGTTTATATGAGTTGCAATGCGTGCTGTCATGATCATTCCGCATGACAAAGAAATTTTCCGGTTCCATAAGCTTGGACATGGTGGAAAAGTACAAAAACAAGTGGTCCTTCACCGACCCCTACATGAAGCGGTTTATGAAAAGAGACGAGAAAAAATAAATTTGTATTGCGAGGCTGGCATGACAAGCTTTCAGCTCCTGCGTTGTACGCATGACAAAAAAGACAAACTCTCTGTCCTACTTCTGCCTCAGCATTACAAACTTCTCGCTTTCCTTTCATACTCCGGGAAGGAAAACTCTCCGTCTTCGACGCCGCGCTGGGCAGATATGGCGCTCTCAAATGTTACATTCTCAACTGTTACATGGATTTGTGATGCAAGAATGGGAAAAATGAAGAGGGGGCATGGCGCGTCTTGCATGACAGATTTGGCACAGATTATCAGCCTAATTGGCCATTCGTCCAGAATTTGTCATGCAGAGCAGCTTGATCGTGTAGATGATAGTGCTAGTTTTGCGTGACAAATCATGCAACAGTTGAGAGTGTAACGTTTGAGAATCTCATAGCAGACCGGACGGGTTTTTATGAAACAGAAACTAAGTAATATTACCGAGTTCTTGTTGTTCAGTCTTTGTCATGGCGCATGAGAAGTTGGTATTCTGTTTCTGATCCGTGTTTATTTCGCATGACTACAAAGTCCAGAACAAGAATCAGCGAGTTGCAATCCATACCCCGACCCGGAGAAGTACGCGTACCGCAACAAGGGCGGGTTTGAGTAAAGTGGAAATTTGGTGACTTGTGGAATCTGCATAACAGGCCGTTTCTGTCTTGCGGATTCGGCATGATGAATCAATCCGCTACAACTCGTGGAAAAAATTGATGCGCGCCATTTGTCTTGCTGCAAAAGTAGTTTTGCAATTATTATAGAAAAAATGATTTCACATCGACTCTATTTGTTATGATCGAAATTTGTCTAGGCGTTTCGACGTACCGATCTTGACCTTTATTTGTTGTAATTTACGTCTACAATTGCAAAATATTTTCTCGAAGAATCTGTACCTCACTCTTACAACGCTCTACTCTCTGATATCACCCTGTATCATCAAATCTTGATGAAGTATCTTCACTGTGGTCTCAACCTACCAAGACCAAACCTGTAAAATTAGCTTCTTGACAAATAAGCAATGTCACGCCTTCTACCAATTTTATGCCCTCTCGTCTCCAACACACCTGTAAAAAATTCCAATCTTAACAGCAGCTTGCTGTTTGAAAACACACCTAGCCTGTTTGATGTTTCACAATCTCCTGTACCCAAACGATATTAATTTTCGCGTTGAGGTAGTTGTACTTCATCTTCATCATCTCAACCTGTACCCAAGCGGTGTTGTTTTAGCTTTGTTTGCAGCGTCACTGACACAAAAAAACCTGTACCTCCAAAAGTAAAGTTTCTACACTAAGTCTAAATCTGTCTTGCTACTTCCGAGAAAGCGTCGATAACCTGTACCCAATATTCAAAGTTTCACATCAACAATGACAATGTCGTTTTGTTGTGGAAGATGAAATATACCGAAGAAAAAATGTCGCTGACACGGAGTAGATCCTCGTTAACACCGACACGACGGACTGTACTCCTATATGTCTTTTTTGCCTCAGAGCAGCTTTTTCCTCCTCAACGAAAGCGAGGCGCCTTCTCTGTGCCAGTAATTGTAGACTAAATCATTCATACCCCCAAGCCCGCCAGTGCATCCTGATTGCTTTTCGTGTATCATCTAGACCCGCATCTCAAGCAACAGGAACAGTCTCGGCTCTTGTATCTTGACAACCTACAGTGTATTCGGTACCTATTTACGTTTCGGATTTTCATCTCTTTGCTGTGTCGTCATGCTCATGGCTCCCCTCCTGTACTATTATAATTGTCGGTCTGCTCCTGCTCTCGTACTATTAATACCTAGTACCTCTTCACAAAAAATCGGGTTCTTGAAGGTTCTGTCGTGTGTCACCAGCATCGTCCGTTTGCGCAAAAATGTTCGGTTTGAAAGGAGAAGGTACATACATAGAACTTCGTGCAACATTCCATGCCTTAAGCAACCAGCGATTTTTCATATCAAATTCTGTCGTTCGTTCACAACTATCGTCTGCTCTCGGTAGTCTATTGTCTGCTGTCGTTCATCCTAGTTTTGTGGTGCAAAAAGTGCTCCCTTTGAAAAAGAAAATTACTTCGTACCACGACGTCCAATAGCTGTCGTCGTCAAGGCACCGGCCGACGACGTGCGTCAACAGTTCTTACTTGTTGAAACAAGTTGTGACGACATTGCAAACTTCTTTTTTGGCACAAAAAAAAAAACAGAACAAAGCGACCCCTTGCTTTTTCACCTCTCTTTCACCAAAGGAAACCCCACCGTTCAGATAATTGTAAATTTGAGCGCGTAAATAAGTAAAACTTTTGACAGTAAACAGTGCAACTACAAGAACTGTTGGATCAGCACATCAAAAATTCGCCAGATAAACAGCTTGAAAAGTACGGCTTCTCGAGCTGCAACTCCCTCTATCTAACTATCGCAGTAGAGGTTCGTCCCACCTTCGGGAGGTCAGCCTCATCTTCACCTTAAACGACTACCGTGATGAGCCAGCGTGGCGGAGGTTGCTGCGGTAGGACCGGCGGCGCGGCTGGTGCGGGCACCACTCGTCTGGTGCAGCTTGCCACGACAAAGACCAGCTTCTTTTTGTTCAGCACGCTCAGCAGTGTAGTACTCCTTGTTCCGGTTAATGTTCACGCTTGGAGCCAACCGGGGACCACGAAGAGAAGGAACACGAAGTTCATGCAGCGCCGAGACGAAGTGCCGGTGGACGAACACGAAGTACAACCAGCGGAAGAAGGGACCACGACGAGAACTCATCAGCATGAAGATTTTCCGCAGGACAGTACGGCTGGTGCTGACGGAACCCTATTGCCCGGCTCGACAAGTACAACAGGCACGGAAGAAGATGACGTTGAGGCCAAACATGACGCTGGCGCCCTTGACGATGCTGTTCCCCCTGCTCGTCGTGTGGCAGCTGGGGCACAAGCAGGTTACAACTTCTACCCGAAGCAAAGCCTGATCAGCATCCCAGTGGCAGCGGCCCCCGCGCGGAGGTCATCTACTACATCGACGGCTTTGTTACCTGCGGACACCAAGAATCACGGTCAGAGCCCCCCTTTAGGAGGAGCAGCGGCGACGGGTACTATTAACTCTCATCCGCGCGCTTCTCGGTCTGTTGGAGCAAGACAAAAACTTGTCCGCGGAAGTCACGATCTAAATGCAAAACTCATAAAAAATATAAGTAGCTTTTTTATTTTTATTGTTTTAGTTTACTTCAAAATCAAAATCAAATACAAATGCAAAAGTTGATGTATCTCTACAAAAAGGTGGAGGACGTGGTCGAGAAGTACCGGTGGTGGCTCCAGGAGCGTCAGCCATGCAGATTGATTCCTCCGGCGAGCACATCAGTCAACAGAAGTACCATGATGGTCATGTTGTAGCTCCTCTCGGTGCTGAGCAAGCCGCGGAAGAGGATGGAGATCATCTTCATGGCTCAAGAGCTACAACTGATCATGTTGGCGGCGGCGCACCAGAACCTCCCTCTACTGCGGTACTACATGAGAACTACGTGTTGGAATCGAACTTCCTCGAGGCAGATTCAGGAACCCCAACTCGTGGTCGTTCTCCCCGACGAAGTGGCGGGACGTCCTCGGCGATACGATCCAGCAGGACGCTTCCACGTTCTCCCGATGATGATGAAGGAGGTCCTCGTCTTCGTCCTCCTTTTCCAGCACCACTACCGCGCAACCTCTTTGGACAAGTCGAAGATGGAGAGCAAGACGGCGCGGAGCAAGAACAACAAGATGTAGTTGGTATCGGTCGTGGTGGCTCAAGAACGTCATCCATGCCCCCTGTTCTTCTAGGACATGCTCATGAGGCAGCAACTTCGTTCTCCAAGTCGTCCACAAGGCCCCTACCAGAGCAAGTTGAAATGCTAGCTGGGCTGTATGACACGCGGGCGGGGCTAGAAGAAATTGCCAGCGACAGGCGCATTGAAGATGAAAATGTGGGAGATCAGGCTACTTACGCACTGAATATCCTGCTTCCGCACATCAGCAATTTCCAGAGTGCAATGCAACACAACGCGAAAACCGATCCAAGAGGCCTGTCCCGCGAAACGAAGACCTTCCAGCACACCGACGTCGTTGGCTTGGATCTTAGCAAGGAAGTTGACAAGAAAAAGCTGTGTTTGCAAGTCAGCGTTTTAGCCTTTCACATCGTTTGCCTACCACACGGAAAGCTTGGCTACATCATTGGCCAGGCCGACGCGAGCTTGGGAAGTATGCAGGTTGATCTTCATTCTCGGTCCTACAACAACTTAGCCGACCATTTCTCCCCCGACCAACACCTCGGGCTGGTGAGACCGCAGGAGTTCGAGGTCCTCTTTTTCCTCGACCTGTTCTCCGACTTCCGCGACGTGCGGCAGGTCGCTGTGAAGGTGACGCTGCCCGCCCACATGCTCGCACGGCAGTTGTACGTGCAGGAACTTTCGTTGATTCAGTCCGGCGACACGTGGACGGGCATTGCGACCTACCTGCTGAGCCACCCGCTCCGGGACCGCTTCTATCAAGAGGAAAACTCCCCCCTCCCCATATCGAAACGAAGTTTCTGATGCTGGATTTCCGTACACAAATCAGATTTGTCTTGCAGTAAAGGACTGCGGGCGTATGTCAAGCCTCGGCCGAGAGGTTTTGACGTAGGCGCCTAGCATGACAAACGTGTATGCTCGAAGACCAACAACATCACAAACCGCCTGCAAAATGCAGGGGGCCCTCTGGACTTGCCTTCTTGCAAGACAGACAAGATTTGAGGTCACAAATGTGCATCGCAAATTTTCAGACGGATGCGCTTTCAATATGGGGAGGGGGGATTTTTCTTTACGATAGCTTCATCTTACAGTTCACGGATGCAGCGGCTGGGGTGGACAAAACGCTGTGGAATTATGGAAAGGAAAAATCCCCCCTCCCCATATCAAAACGGAATTTCTCATGCTGGATTTGTGTACACAAATTTAGCTTTGTATTGCAGAGAGGCATTGCGGCCAGATCCCGAGGCTACGTAGGGGCGCGCCATGGGTCTAGTTGTTCAGCATGGCAAACGACTCCCCTCTAGGCCCAACAGCATGACAAATCGACTCCATAATGGGGAGGAAGCCTCTGCCCTTGTCTTCTTGCAAGACAAATGGGATTTGTGCCCTCAAATCACCAACGCAAATTTTCGGAAACCTACCTGTTCAATATGGGGAGGGGGGGGTTTTCTTCTCAATAGGAATGTGCAAATGATCACGGAGGCGTTTCAACAGGACTTGCGGGAAGGAACAACGATCGCGGTCGCGGCGGGTTTTGGCGGTGGAAGTGCCGCGGCGCTTCAAGCGGAAGATGTTGCTGGTGTAGGAAGTGATGTTGCACCAGGAGCACAAGCGGCACAGGGAGGAGACGGAAGCACTACGCCTCGCGGTGGAGGAGCAGCAGGGGGTGCTTCTTCTTCGTTGGCAGCACCTCCGCTGTCTCCGCGCACGCCTCAACAACAAATAAAACGTCGCGGTTTATTAGCTGTACCAGGTTCATCTTCTCCATCTCCGCAAGCCCCTTTTTCTGGCGGAAGTCGAGCTCCTCACCGCACCCCCGGCACTGCAGGCACAGTGTCGAAAACTCCCAACTACATGCTCCAAACTCCCATGTCTGCCGTCACTTTCGCGGATGACGATTTGATCCGGAAGCGCACAAACGTCATGGGCAACTCCCAAAGTGCCGGGCTCTCCAGACTCTCATCTACTGCGCAAACCAACCTGATCAGCCAGATCAACGCCGAGTTTCTAAACCACAACGACGAAGGCCCGGGAGCTGCAGCTTCCGCAAAGGTGATGAAGGTCCACTTCGGCACGCAGCGCCTGGCGGTGACCTACCTGGGCGACAGCGAGGCGCTTTACGACCGGCTAAAGACCATGTGGAAGATCAGCGACCCTCGGCCCGGGCAGCTGCTGCAAACTACACAGCAGCAGCTGAGCCCTCCAGCTGGGGCGCCAGCACGACGTCCTTTGCGCGCCGATCTGTGGAGTAAGATCTGGGCCGTGCCAAATTTTCGGCCACCGAAGTCGGTGGCGAATCGGCACTGCCAGAGACTGTTGTTTCCTGGTATCAAACCTGTGACACCTCCGGCCGATGGGCCGGCCAACACGGAGGATTTCGAGGAGAAAATGGGGGAACGCCTGGACAAACTTCTGGCCGACGGTGCGATCGAACTGAAAAAGGTTCTCGATGATTATCCGTTTGTTTGTTCTAACACGGATCCTGCTGAGCGAACTACTCCACCTCCTTCCGACCAAGAGCGAAAGCAAGAGCGAGAGGCCGTGGTCCGCTACTTCCACGCTTTGCACCACTGGCACTTCCACCTGGCCAACCAACACCTCCGAAACTCAAGCGTGCTGGTCATTTTCGTCCGCGACGGCCGCGCCGCCAGCCACAAAGCCGCACACGTGGAGCACGATTCGTCCCGGATTGGGGTGCAGCAGTTGATCGAACTGGCCGCGGAGCTGCCGCGCGTGGACGCTGTGGTATTGGTCGGCGACACTTTTGTTGTTGAAGACGAACAGAAAGAGTTGGAAAACTTTTTGACAGAAATGCAAACGCGTTGGTACAATGACCAGTTCGGAATCAAAGCACCTGAAGCAGAACAAGCAGGCCCGCTGGCGCAAAAAAAATCCTCCAGCATCTTCGTCTTAAACGCGCTGAAGTGGTGGGAATCCGACCAAATTATGCCGATGCAGTTCTCCCGCGTCCAGCAAATTCAGGTTTTGGACGTGCTTCGCGAACGTTGCGGCGATTTGGTCCACATGGGCATGCGGTCCGGGATGCTGGAGCCTTTTGCCTTGATCGGGCACAAAGTCGTCTCGATGGACGAATTGGGTTCCGGCGGTGCCGACCGCATGATTCGCTTCACCGAAACGGGGGATGGGCTCAAGTTCAAGAAAGTGCAACTCCATGACCCGGCGACCCCTGTAGGCAAGCAATTTGTGTTCCTGAACCGGTTCTGGTACTTTGCGCTGCAACGGGCGTTTTTCCTTCTGGACCAGCTGTTTTTCGTCCCGACAGTACTGCCACGACCGGAGGGCACGACGGCGCCTAGTGCAGCTCACGGTCAAGAAAAGCACCATCAAATCTCCGACCCCACCTGGCTCTGCAAAGCGCTGGAGCCGTTGAAGCGGCAAACATCTTGGCGAATTTTCGGGGGGCCGGCGGAGGGGAGGGACTGTTCTTCGGCAGAAGAGGGAGTCACCAATGACGGATGTGTCCAGGAGAGTCGTTACTTGCAACAAGCAAACAAACTTCCGACCGAAGAAGACCAGAAATCTGCGACGCGCTACTTGGAAGTTGCAGGGGAGAAAAAGGTCCTCGAGGCCAACTTGAAGGAAATTAACGGGGACCAAAGCGCGGGCGCCGCGCTGGAAGAACTGCGCAACGGCATCATGAAGAAGTTACTGAAGTTCGAAACAGACCGGCGGGACGAATTCACGACAATGTGGGCCGATGTCCCAGCCACCGAGAAACAGGAGGACGAGCCTGGTCCGGCCGCGCCCAAAGCTGCAAAGCCAAAGGGTAAAGGCAAAAACAAGGGAAGAACATCAGACGACTGGACGCTTCTCAAGCGCGCTTGTTCGAAGTACAGAAAACTGGACTCCGAGTTGGAAGCTACTTTGAATAGCCTAGGTTACCCCATGACGGCGACCAAAACCTTCCAAGACCTTGCGGCGGAGAGCGTGTCCGTTTCGACCGTACGCGCGCTCGCGACCTCGCTGTCTACTGCTTTGGAGCTGCGCATGAAAGACGAGGTGCATCTCCAGTCGAGCATGCTGATGGAGCTGAACGGCCTGGAGGCCCAGTTGAGTGGGGGGCCGCTTCAAGAAGCCAGCAAAAAAGTCAGCGACTGGCAACAAATGAACAAGAATTTCATTCGCAACAAACTCGATCGCCGCGCCATCCAGTTCGTCAAATCGTACTCGCAGCTCTGCGACGTCGAAACCAGAACGGCAGCCACGCCGACCGTGACGCAGCAGGCAGCGAGCCGCGTGGTCATCGCCTCTGCGGTAGAGGCTTCGCGGCCCGGGATCTCTCTGAACGACGGCATCGTGGACATGGGAACCACCAAAATTGACGAGCTGGGGTGGGAAGTGTACAGCCACGGGAAAAATACAAATAAGCAAGGAGATGCTAGTACTTCGCTTTTGCCTTTGCGCGAGAAAAAACACAATCTCTTAACGTCCCTTCGGGAGTATGTGGACAGCATTCCCGGGTACCACGAAATCATGTTCGGCGTTTATGGGCGATCCGAGGATGAGAAGTACCCGATGACGGCACCTGCAAAGGGCAAACCGAAGCCGAAACTTAAGAAATACCCCATGATCAACAAAGCCGATTCCGGACAGTTCGCGAGACCAGACGACCTTGACAACAACCCGTACAAACAGGGCTTTTCGCGGGACGATTTGGCCCGGATTGGGTACGCCATTGATGACTCACTGAAAAATCAATATGGCAGCCCGGAGCGGCTTTGGCGGTCGGCCAGTCGTGTACAGCGATTGGCACTGACGGAAGAGAAGATATCAGGGGGAAAAAACGTTATTCCCCTGCGACGCTACCGTACAACTGCGACTTACTCAGATGGAAACATGTGATGCTGAAGACTTTTCTAGCCGGATGCTTTTGCTGTTCCTGTCACAACTTTGTCATGCATGATTGAAGGCTCTGCCTCCTGGGCTTCGGCAATTCCAATGTCGCGCAGTAGTTAGTGTCCTTGCCACTCACTTCTACTCCTCTGTCTTTCGTCGTAGAAAAAAAGTTTGCTACATGCCGATGAACTTCGCGTGTTTATTATTCGTACGGTACGGGGTCCACCTCGTCGCGAGGAAAGAAATTTTTGTTTTTCCACCTTTATAGATGTTTTTGGCCAAAATCACCAACAGTTTCTGGAAGCACTCCCCGCCGCCAAACATGAGCAAAGACGATTATATCGAAAACGCGAAATCTTGGCTGAAAAAACACGGCACACACAAAGTCATGTTCCCTCGGCTCAACCGGTCTGTCGTCGAGCTGTTTCAGAACAAAAAGGCCCAGAACGTGCGGCGGATTGAAGCGGACTTCCAGCAGTTTTGCGAAAAGTTCAGCAGAGTGAGATTTATGAACTTCGACGGAGTAGATGGGGGCGTCGAACAAGATTCGCGTGGTCCTATCTACGACTACGAGCTTTGCAATTGGGTGTTTGCTCCGGTGCAAAGCTCCGAGGAGGACCTGCGTGCGCCCGAGCTGCATGCAGGTGCGCAGGAAATTTTTCCTGCCGACCGTGATGGGGAGGAGGAATTCAAAGCGGTTGAGGACCAACTCGCTGGGCCCGAGTTTCAGTTTGACCCACAGCAACAAATTTTGCAGGGAGGGGGTGATGTCGACATGGGGTGTTTAGGGGAAGATCAAGATTTCCTGACTGGTGGGTGTCGAGTAAACGATTATGCTGAAGAAGCTGAAGCTGCTGGTGCCGAAGGGGAGGCCGAATCGCGGGGGCAGGCTGGGGTTGCTGCTGACACCCCCTCCACGGCAGATGTAGAAATGAGCGAAGATGTTGTAGATGATGAGAATGGGTTTGGGTTTGCCGCCCACGTCCGTCAAGGTCTGGAGACTCTCACGGGAAAGGAACCGTCCGTAGTTGCGTTCCGCCTCGAATCGCCCGGGCTCCGCCTCTCTCCGGGGCGGGGAGCTGTTGGTGGTGCGGCGAGTTCGGCGGCGGGGTCAGGCGAGCCATGGACCGGACATAGTAAGCGTATGGCGGATTTTTCAGCCCCACCTTCTCCAGATCCTTTTGCTCCTGGTCCCGGTCGACGCGGGCTGAGAATCAGGCAAAATGGTGACGACGACTATCCACATGTGGTGGGGCATCTCACTTTCGGTGATGTCAAAGTGGGTGAAAAAACCGATTCGAGCGCAAGTCGTCCTGGTGGTGCCTCGCCCACGGGACGAGCAGCAAGTCAACACGCAGAGGCTGCACCTGGTGCAGCAGGGGAGCAACAAGTACAAGAAGGAGGAGGACAATATGATCGGGAGCAGGGGGAGCACGAACAACTACAACAGGATGTTGCACTCGACAGTGCTACTAGAAATATGCTGGCGTCCTCATTTGTTGAGCAGAGCGCCTCACCTTCACAAACGCCGCGACGGGGAACAAACTCAGTACGTAGTCCCCCTGCAGCTCCCGGAAGAGCAACATCAGAATCCAGCCCAACACCAGCACTGGCAGCTCCCCAACAAGGACGAGCGACAAGATTGCTAGAAAGTCCGACCCAGTTAGCCGCCCGGGCAGCAGCGGGTGCGGGCCTCGACCCGCACGGCAACAGTGGACAAATCGAATTTCACCAACTGGCCTACGGTCTAGAACTGCTTCACCTCCGCACCATGGAAAAAATTGCGGAAGGGGTGTTAGTCAAAGTCACGCAGCTCGATGAGCAGTCGGCGGCCCCTGCCGGCGTAGATTCAGAAATGTTCTTTGCCGACCCGGGTTCGTTCGAACTGCATACCACCATCGGCGACTGGCGCGCGGCCGCAACGCTGGGGGATACCGAACTTCGACGAGGAGGTACGCGTGAAACCCGCAGGGAGCGGGAAGTTCTCGGGTTCGAACAGGTCATCGAAAAGCACATTAGTCAGATGTTTATCCGGTTTTTCTTCATGCAGGCTGGGTTCTGCGAACCGATTTCGGTTGTGCAACTTGCTAGCGAGGGCTCGGACCGTGAGATGAAGTATCAAGTTGATTTGGAAAAGCGGAAGGCGCTTCAAATGAGCGGAACGACAGGAGCGTCGCCCCCCGCGAAGTGCCACGAGTTGTGTCTGGAGAACCCGACGTGCAAGTACGGATCAGTACTGCTGGAGCGAGAGGAGGGAGCACCAGAAAAAGACAAGTGGAAATGCGAGTTGTTCTCTGAGGAGCTGCGCGTAGAAGCCGCAGCCGAAACTACGGGACCCGAGCAGGCCGGCGAAGTCCAAGCGGGTGAAGGTGGTGAAAAAGGAGGCAAGAAGGTCCCCAACAAGAGCGAGAAAGGGAAGATAAAACAAGACCAGAAGCAGAAGGAGGGCAGGCACACCAGGGACGCCGGGAAGGCTGAAGAGACCGAAGCACAAGCCGCGCAGAGGAAAGAGAGAGAGGAAGCGGCGACGATTAAAAAACAGGAACAAGAGAAAGTTTCTGCGGAGAGGAAGAAAAAAACGCAGTTTTTTCAGTGCGATCGGGCGCAGAACTGGGTGAACGGTGGGAAGAAAAACGTGATTTGGGGAAACCCGGAAGGAAACCGGGGGCGGCCGGTTCAGAGGAGTGGTAGTAGTGGAGGTAGCGGTGAAGGAACTCCGCTAGCAATGCCCGGCAGCCGACCTTAGTAGCATCCCGTTTCGTGCAAGTTCGATTAAGTATTCGCGAAGTGAAATTTGCGTCATCAAGAAATAATCCTTTCCGCTTTGAAGATGATGTTAAGTAATTAGCAGGGCCGGTTTTAAGTGCTAATGAATCGGATGAGACACTACGACTACCGCTAGGGTTGTAAAGAATTTCCTTTTAAGAACTAATTTCACCAGACGACGCAGTACAGTAGGTCAGCCAGTAGGTTGACGTTGTAAATTTTTTTTCAGGACGAGATGACGAGCCACTGATTTTCTTTGATTTTTCGATTTTGCTTTTATGACTCTCACATTCAAGTTACTCTGACTTTTTAATTTTTCTAGCGACCAGCTTTACTCTTTGTTATCCTCTCGACTTCTACAGTATCACTTGAAGCGATCGGCTTCGGCGCAGTGGCATCGCTTTACGCGTTTCATTGCATTTTTTATATATGTATCATTTTTTCCTAGGCATACTTCTTTAATTGTTCGCTTCCTTATTCATTCTGACAGCTACATCGTTCATTCTTGACATACATGTCGATGCATCAGCATCTAGGTCAAAGAATACAAAAACGCGATTGCGTCCTTACCCTCCTGTACGAATGAACGTTTTCAGTTTCAGTTTGTCCTTCATCGAGCCCCGAGCGGAGGTCATGCGTTTCTTGTTTTCCTCCGGTATCTTGTTCAGTTGTACTTACTCGTTGTGATTATTCGTCCGGTACTTTTTCTGAAGCAGTGCATGTAACAAGCATTGCTGATGTAGTCGTCCCGAAGTTACTACATACACGGCCACTGTTGAAATCGAAGCAATTTTTACCAACATCGTTGGCCTTCACATCTCAACACCAAACAAGATCCGGATTCAATTGAGGATTGTCCTGCCTAGTCAAATCTTCAATCTAGTAGTACATCTATTTTCGCCCCCTCTGAGAAGGAAGGCCAAGGCGCGGGTAGGCTCACAGCAGCGGCGGCCACAGTTCTCGGCTACAATCGGACACAGAGCATGTTACAGAAAGCCTCGACGTATCTACTACTAGCAAGAGACGCATGAAGATGATGATGAGCATGAACAACATGAAAATGAAAATGTAGAAAAACACGCATATCAGATAGCATGCGCTGGCTCCTGGCCCGTCTTTTCTTCTCGTCGGAGAACGACAGCAACTCCGGCGGCGAAGGAAACTACAGCACCACCAGCAACGGAGGTAGTGCCACGAAGACTCTAGTTCAACACTTTGAAACCACCACCACCACGACAAGCTCGTCGACAGCCGCTTCTAGAAGAAGCGCAGCTTCATTGGCCGCGAGCTATGTTTTCGACTACGGGGATAGGGATAGCGCGACGGCGACCATAATTCCCTCGCTATCCAGGACATAAAAACACCTATTCCCATCCTTTCTTTGCATGACAAACACGACAAACACTGCAGCTTATGCATGTTTTGCATGACAAATTGGACGGGGATGGGTTTTTTTTTGTGGATACTCGCCGGGTGGTCCCTACTACAACAATCTCCTGCAGCTTTCCAACCTCCAGGAGTTTTACCTGTCCCTCACCTACCAGGTCGACTTGCTCTTGTTCGACCACCTACCGACTAGCGTGTTCTACTGTTACGAAAAATTTTTCATCATTTACAACGCCGACCCGCTCTATTTGAAGTCCTTCATCGAGCTCTGGGTGTCGCTCTTGAGTCACATTGTTGTGCTCACCTTTCTGTACTACTTCTACAAGACGAGCTTCGTGGAGGCGCGCCGGAAGCAAGCGCTGCTGATTTTGGAGAAAGAGAGGAAGAGAAACAAAGGATGGCGGAAAAAAATGAAGGTAGGATTTTTACTTCTTTTGACATCAACATCATACTCGACTGGACTTGGCAGGGTTGATATAGATGATGGAATCATATTCGACGAAGATACGACGCTTTGTGTGTACTTTGCGTTTTTTAGTTCTTTATTGTTCAAACATATGAACTACAGATCCCTTTTTCAATTCTTTCGAGGTCTCGTTCCACCCCGGGCGGGAGATTCCGGAGAAGTTCTCCTTAATGCACATGCTGAGGAGGATCAAAATCCAGCAGCTCCCCGACCTACCGCATTTGCTCGGGAATGACCCCTGCGAGCTGGAAGTTACCGCCAGGTTAGCGCGCGGAAGCTACGCGCTGCCCGTGTCTGTGGCGAGTTTAGGGACGACAGTTCACAACTACGGAAGTAGCGACGGGGTGGAACAAGACGTCGACGGTCAGAAACAGGAGGGAGCTGGTGTCGCGGCCCCTTCCATTACGAGTAAGAAAAGCATACCCGCCCCGGCGAGCGCGAGATCGTCTACCACATCTTCCTCCACCACAACGAAACCAAATTGTTTCCGAGTCGACGTCAGCTCAAGCGATTCAGGCTCGGCGGCGGTGAAGCTGAAAATCAAAGATCGGGAACTAAAATCGGTTTTGATCCAGTTTGAGAGCGTCTTCGTCCGGAACATTCACTCGGTTTTGAAGGATCTGAGAACCATTTTGAAAAGCAGCGGCAGAGGACGTCGAAATGTCAATGCAAACAAGTTTTCTAGAAGTGGAAGTCCGATGATGAATTCTCCCGGAGCTGGAACAAGTTCACCATCACCATCTCCCGCCTCGACGCGCGCTTCAGTGGGCGGGGCAGCTACATCAAGACCCACCACAAGCACTTCCAGTTCGTCCTGTGCTGCCACGACCTTTCTTTTCCGTCGATTTTTCAACTACCTGCTTTGGGAGCTGCTCTTCCGGACGATTCAATTTCTCGAGCTGTTCGTCTCAGTGAAATTGACAAAAGTGGAAATCAAGACCCTCTCCTACTACGGGTTGTTTATCCCCCGGTTCCTGTACCATTTCATATACAATTACCACAATGTCGAAATTCTCAAAACGACCAAAATCTACGTCCCCCTCGCTCCCCACTTCTCCGGGTGGCTGTGGATTTTCGGCGTGATTCCCATTCCGTTCTATTCCGTGCAACTTCCAGGTGGGGTGGTGCCATTCTTAGATTCGGGACATCTGACGGAATTCGTACGGAGAAGCGAAGTACAGGAGTTGATGATGGGAAAGGGCGGTGGCGGTGGTGGGGGTTTCAGTGGACCGCACGGTCAAACTTCCACCTTCGCATATGGAAATAATGCGAATGTCGCGACATCCGCATCCGAGCCGCAACTTGCTACCAAAAGTTTGATCAACCGACTGGACTTAGCCAAGGTGCCGGTGCGAGAGTTGCTCGAGAAGGTTTTGTACATGGTGAAAAGATACGACATGAAATTTTCCGCAAATCTCCATCTCCCCGAGCAATCTGACGTTTTCTTGCATTTACCGGACAACAGTTGCGTCCACGTCAAAATCGATCCGCCCAGACCGCAGTTGGGGAAGGTAGTGGTGGAGTTGGAAGGAGGAGACGCTTCGTCGACGTCTTCAAGAATGATCTCAGGAGCACCACCAAGCGCAAGCGGAAGTGGTTCATCTGGTGCACCAAAAAGTTCTTGTGCTGGAGAACGGTTACACGATGAAAACAAGTTTTTCCTACACTTGCAACGGTTTGAAATCGATGAACAGAGGTTGATCTCTGGTGCTGCAGCTGTAGAGAAACCATCTGCAAAAAATCAGCGAAATGGACGAAGCTGCTCTACTACACCCTTGGAATCGCGACCTAGCATGACAAATAACCCATCATCACCTTCCAACACTATGTGGATCTCCCACCCCACTGTTCCCGTCCGGGAATGCCTCGCGGAAGTGGTTGGCTGGCTCGCGATATGCATTGCAAAAGTAACGTACTAGTACAAGTCGCATGACAAATTTTCTCAGCATGAGAAAGAAAATTTGTAATGCTGATTGTCCTTAAGAGAGAAATTTGTAATACATGATTGGAATTACAATTACTACGGGTGCGATACTTTTGCACAGGATACGCGAAACTGATGGCCGAGAATTTTGAAACGGATGTATCAGAAGCAAAAATCCCCCCTCCCCACATCGAAACGAAATGTCTGATGCTGGATTTGCGTACACAAATCAGATTTGTCTTGCAGTAGAGGACTGCGTGCCCACATCATGCCCATGCACAGAGGGGCTACCCTAGGCACTTAGCATGAGGAACGTCTATGCCGCAGGACCAACAGCATTACAAACCACCTGCATAATGGGGCAAAGACTGTGGCGCTGCTTTCTTGCATCACAGATGCGATTTGTGGTCACAAATCAGCATGACAAATTTTCTGAGGCGTGCCTTATCGATATGGGGAGGGGGGATTTTTCCTTACGATACGATGACGCTGAGCGGTTTTTGAAACAGCAGGGAGCTTCGGGACGAGGGAACAAGAAAATGGGCATGAAAAACTTAGGGATGATGCCAACCACTGCAGCAGCTACAACGGTAGAAGACGGGACGACTGCTGGATTATTTTCCACCAGCAACGGCGGACGCCTGGCAAGCGGAGTGTCGTCTCATACCTCGATGATTGCAGCCTCAGGCGGGCGGGCAGGTAGTGCCTCTGGCGGGGCACCTCCTGCTCCAGAGGAGGAAAACATGAGAAACACAAGATCGAACAATTTCAATTCGAATTCCGTCACATCAACTTCGAACTCCGACGAGATCTATCTCCGGACGCACGCGCGACTTTTGCAACAAATGGTAGAGAAGTACATGATCGAAAAAATCAACAACAGTGGCCACTTACAGCAAGACGAGTTGCAATTGCAAATCCCGCATCCAGGGCAGTCATCCAGTGGCGCAAACAACCCGGCGGCATTACGGCAGAAGTTCAGTAGCCCGACGCCAACCCCGACCTCTACGACGAGCTTGCTAGGTGCGCGTGGAGGGCCGGGATCACAAGCTACATCAAAAAATTTTAGCTTTACCATCGACCCCGAGGACAAGCATTTGCTGCAGAAGTACGTGCAACAACGGTTGAGAAGAAAGAAAAAACTACTGGAAGAGAAGACGAAAATGGTCGATTTGCTGAAGAATCTCTGCATCGCCGTGAAACTCGACTTGACGAACAGGTTTAAGTTGCGGACGGAAAAGATAAAATTTTCACACACGACGACGTCGACACAACACCAACACCAAAACAGCGCCAACAAGCAGAACAACAGCTTTCCTTTCTCTCAACAACAGCACCTACACCTACAACATCCTGAGATCCGTTTGAAATACTACCGGGATGACATGGTGGGGAAGTTTGAGTTCGCGACGAGAATGCGGTCGATTTCGATCGAAAACCTTCAGTACGAAACGAAGAACGTGTGGAAATTTGGAAGTGGGAGCAATTCGAAGAACTTCCTGCGCATTCCGGATTTCTTGAACGCGGAGTTCAAGGTGGATATGCAATACAAATTTCCCGTACATGTACAAAATGCATCACAAATTCTACCAATTTTGAGCGTAAAACTTGTCATGCTAAACTAGGATCGAAGCCAAGTTTTGTCATGCAGAGACCGCATTTGTACGCGTGCGGGAAATTTACTGTGGATAGTGGAGAAGTTGATTTTATCGGATTTGAAAGTGGACAACGGAACCTCCGTTTTTGAACTTGCGATATGCAATGCAAAAGCATCGTACTAGTATAAATTGCATTACAAATTAGCCCAGCATTACATATTGAATTTGTAATGCTGATTCACCTTGAGCAAGAGATTTAATGCATAAAACGCGATTACTACGAGTACGATGCTTTTGCACAGGATATGCGACCGAGCCGGTGGATGTTTGTGTATTCGGAACTTCGGTGGATTACAAAGATTCAGCAAACTACGTCGGGGACGAGACTACCGGAGGAGGCGGAGGCGGGGCTGCTGGAACAACTTCCACCTATACAACTACAACAAGTTCAACTCCAGCAGGAACTACGCACGACAACAGCGTCCTCACCGGAGGCGCAGTCTGCTGGGAGGTGGTAACGAATGCCGGTGGAAGGACTACTTCATCTTCGGGCTCTGCTGGTGGCAATGCAAGTTCAACAAAGAGCGAGCAGAGCAGTCAAGGTTTCAACTTTGAGCTGTTCGGCGTGACCCCGATCACTGAGGCGCTGGAAATCCCGGAGTTTGACTTGAATTTGGGCCAAAAGATCCAAACGCACGTCTGTGGAAAGATAGACGCGCGGTTTTTGGCCACCCTGCTGTCGAAAAACTTCAACAAAAGGAAAAGTTTTCAGAGAACAGCCGCCGGTTCTTCATTTCGTGCAGGAGGGGCAGATGCTAGTCGTGGGGTACCACACAGCGGTCCTTTCATCCCTTCACCTTCCAAGAGTGGTGGAGAGGAGTACGAAATGAGCAGTGGCCTGGCAAATGTTTTGAGGTATCGGGGTCCGAATAGAAATGCTTCCACAGCAGGCAAAGCCGACCAAGAAACTACAGAGCCAGAACCAGAGGAGTCTGTCGTGAAATCGCAGGTGCAGATGAACCATGAAGAAGAAACGCGATCTGCGGCAACTGCGGTGCGAGAGCCAACCCCGACCGAAGAGGAAGACACCGACATGATCACAATCGCCTATATGAACGGCACGAAAGCGTTATCAAGCAAAAAAGTGTTAACGTTAACGGTTTTCACAGATGGCAGAATGCATTACAAATTTTGCCTTCAATGCATGCCACGCAATACAAATTTGGGTACCTTTTATGATGCGTTACTGCATCACAAATTCCGTTAACGTTATCGCTTTTTAGTTTGATAAGCGTCTATCACACTCCAGGAGGCCTTTGTCTCCTTCGGGGGGGCATCAAGACGACTACTCTACCTTATTACAGTGAAAAGTGCCCCCCACCCCCAAAGTTGCAAAAATTTGTGATGCGAAGTTTCCAAATGAAAACTTTTTGTCATGCATGAAAGGAGTATGAATCTTTCTGATGCAGAGTCTAGTCGTGCTTCGCATCGCTTGCATGACAAGCATCGCTCTTGCTGGGATCTTTTGCATTTGCAATACAAATTTTTGCTATTCACAATCGGAAATCTGTGATGCTGATACATGCAAGAGGGCGAATGTTTCATTTGGAAAGGTTTGCAATACAAATTCTTTCAAGTTCGGGGGTGGGGGCATTTTTCATTGTAATATACCTAGACGGCGCTGGCACGAAGCCACCATCGGGGGCTGTGGAGAGCTTGGCTGGTACGGGAACAGGAAGTCGAGGACCACGTGACGGCGCTTCAAATGCAAAGCACGGAGCAGGGGGATCACCAGCCACTTCATCAGCTTCCTCATTATCATCTATCGCTGCTGATTTTGAAAGGAGGAAAGCGGAGTTTGCCGCTAGGTTTTTCGGCGAGGAGGATGAGGATGGGAACGGTTCAGCAGGAGTGGAGATGACTGCGGAGCAGAAAGGAAAAACTAACACCGAAGTAGAGACAAACCGAAACCACGGCGAAGAAATATTAAACGAGAACCAGAGCACAGCCACGACAACGCCCACGACGCCCTACAGAAAGCAAAAGCCCACACAAATCGACATCGAGGTTTTGGACGCTGTTTTGGGCGATTTGCACAAGAACTCTACGTCTGGCGCTGGAGCTGGACCTGTCACGGCTGAACAAACCAAAAGCACCGACGAATATCTGAACAACATCAATCCTATTCTTTTCAAGCTGAAGTGGAATCTGAGAAAGGAAGGCTCGTCGCATCATCAACAGAACAATCGGCAACCAGAAGGTCACAGCACAGCGTTGAACGGGGAAGAACAATCAGAAAATATCTACACGACGGCCGATTTCTCAGAGATGGTGATGCTCCCAACGGACAGCTTCAAACCCACGACACAGAAGGTGAATATGGCGTTCTCAAACGTTACATTCTCAACTGTTACACGATTTGTCATGCAAAATCAACCAGCAGCAACATCAACATCCACAGGGTAAAGCGACTTCGCATGACAAATTCCCGGAGGGCTAAACAGCATTTAAATCTGTGCGGAATTTGTAATGCTAGAGGCGCAATTGTCCCCCTTTGACTTTTGCTCTTCTTGCATGACAAATTCATGTAACAGTAACAGTTGAGAATGTAACAATTGAGAGTCCCATAGTGAAAGTTGTGGACTTGCAAAAGCAGAAAACGAACATCGATTTCATCCTGGTGCTGCAGAAAATTTTCTTCCCTGGGAGCACGGTTTTGCATGGCAGCAAAAAGGGCGGCAGTCAACAAACAGTTAGCAACGACGGAGACGGTAATTCGAGCAGTAGGTCGCCGAGGAAGCAGCGGCTACGGCCACCAGACCCGGATGATAATTTTCCGGGCCACGAGGGTTTTACCGTCACCCGCGCCAGCCGTTCTGCGTCGTACAGGAATGACGAGGACGATGGAAATTTCTCCTCAACTACTAGCAACTACGGGGATAGTACTGATGTCTCTTGGGATGATGAAGATGAGGAGTATAACGTTAACGATCCAGAGCATAATGGTCAACTCGACCAAGACAGCAGCAGTGCCGCCGGCCTTTCCTCGGTTAACAGTAGTCGACAGGGGTCCAGAGAACTTGTGTTGCGGAACTTCAACGGAGCTGTAGATGGCACTGAAATTGAACTGTCAACACACGGCACAACATCAACAACGAAAGCCGAGCCACGGAGAAGTAAAAGGCACATGAAACGGATGATGTCCCCTGAGTCGCATTTGCTACTCCCGGACGAGGGACGAAACAAACAAAAAGTTGGAGAAGGAACACTCTCAGGCGCTGGCTCTTCGACCCTCCTCCGGCGTGAAACGAGTGCGACTTCCAGTGCAAGTAGGTTCTCAACTGTAGAGCACGACTCGGTCACCCAAATGAACTGTCAACCTCTCCCGGTTTCCCGTCGGGGTGGATTGATTCTCTATTCCGCAAAAGAGCAAATGGCCGTGAATCTCCTGCCGACATTTTTCGGCCGAGGCGAGCTGATTTCTCATTTGAGCAGCGCCGGGAAATTATCGGTCGAGCGGTTTTTGCCCTGGGAATTCTACGATCAAAGTAGTGCGACCGGCGTCGGTGGTGCTGGCGCTGCAGGGAAAGAGCATGACGACCCAACAAACGCTAGTAAAACGACAGGCGAGCGGTACTTCCAAGCAGCGCAGGGTCAGTTGCTCCGCGGTCTAGGGGCTGTTGGGGACGACGGTCAAAAACAGCACGCGTCTTTCAGAACATCATCTTCCGAAAGCAGTTCCAGCAGCAGTGGGTTGTTCGGGGCACAGAGCTTCTACAACCCCGTCAGCGATTTTCAAGCGAATACGTCGGTAGGTTTGATGAAAAGTAGCACCGACCTGGACGGCAGTGGACACGGTCAGGTGCAACAGGAGATTATACTGATGAAAAAATCCACAGCGGCAGTCTTGCGCGAGCTCGCAATCGCGACTTCTGCTGCTGCGACTAAGAGCAGCAGTGGTGTTGATGTTGGAATGAATAAAATTAAAACCGAACAAACTGCAGAAGACGACACCGCAGTTGCTAACCTGCAGCTTTTCCAAGACTTACAAAATCTCGCCTGGTCCTCCCCGTTGAAGTACCTCTATCTCCAGGAGTACCAAAAGGACCGAATCGCGACGCTTCTTGGAAGGATGCAACGTTTTTCAACTGCTTCGTCGCCCACGGCCGCCACCAAGATCGACCTGCCTTGGCAGGTGGTTCTCAACTGGCTGAAGTACGACGGCATCATCGCCGGGCTTTTCACGATTCTCGGCATTCTGGGCAGCAGCCGGCTTTTTGAAGCGATGGTGGATGTGTTCGAGCACGTGCAGAAAACAGTACGCATTCTGGACGAATTGAACGTGCAAAAGCCGTCAGATTTGATCCCCGCGAAAAATTTGGCGGACTAGGAAACGCAAAAGCATCGTACTAGTAGTAAACGCATTACAAATTTGCTCAGCATGACAAAGGGAGTTTGTAATGCTGTTTTACCTTGGGATGAAAATTTGTATTGCATAAACGCAATTAGTAGAACGAGTGCGATACTTTTGCAATGCATACGGACTTTGTGTTCGCGATTCTGTACGCGGATTACGAATTTTTGCAAGATGAAACGACCGGTGTGGACGTGGTACTAGCAGCGACCCCAGCAGCGACGCCAGCAACGACAAAAACCAAGAAAAAAACCACAGGCGCTGTCGTGAAGCAGCAATACAAAGCCGAGATCTCAACCTTCGTTACAAAATTCATCCGTGCGGAGGGGTTGGATTTAACGATTGCGAAGAAAATTTTGCAGCGACTTTACCCAAAATGGTTTCAGAACCATTTCCAAGAAATCGAGCAGGGCTTGAAAATTCTCGACAAATTTGTGTCGCCGAAACCTCTACCGAGGTTGAAATTGGACAACTACTTTGCCGCGCCGACGCATCAGCAACCTGGTTGTGCTACTGGATCAACATATGCCGCGACAGGTGCAACGGGCTTTGTAAAAAACTATGAATCTTCAGGGGTAGCGGAGGTCGAGAGACTGTTGCCGACAGCGGCTAAGATGTACGAGGCTGTAGCGTCGATTGCGGATAAAAACAAGCAATCCCTACACAATTCACCACCAGCGAGTTCTTGCTCTGCTAAACTTCACACCGCCATCCTTGCCGCACCGTACTTTACCCGGGCGCAGCTCGCGTATTTAGTTGAGAATGGCTTCGCGAAAAAGCTTCAGTTGAATAGCGAAGACACACACAAATTGTCCTACATCATTCACTTAAAGCAAACCCTCACCACTATCGTGGACGACATCGGGGGTAACTCATTGCTGCCGCAAACGCACGGGATCGCGTTTTTGCTCGGAGACACCTTGGCGCGGAGTAAGACCAGTGAAATACTTGCTCATCCTAATGACTTCAACTACGCGCAGATGCAGATGAATCTTGGTGGTGCCGCGGCGCAGAATACGAATACCACAGCAACAGCACCGAACAACTTTAGTAAGACCACAACAGCTTCCATAAATTCGGACTCAGACGAAGACAGCGCAAGAGCCACGCTCTCTGCGATGAAACTGCAGCAACAGCAGGAATATGGATTGCAAATATGTCTGGGTCTGGAAGAATACAAACTTGTGATGCGCATTTCAGAACACAGAAAAATCTCTCATGCATAGGTAGCAAAAGCTGCCCACTTTCTGTGACCAAAATTGGAGATTTGTCATGCGGATTCGGCATTGCGGAAGCTTCTCGAAACCTGTGATGCTAGAGCTTCCATACCAGACCTTGCGCGTCATGCAAAAACAGCATGACCACTCTTCCAGACCCAGACATTTTTGCATTTGATAAAGAAGTCCAAGCGCTCCTTGGGACCTCACTACTTGGCCCTGCTGACATGGCGGGGTTGTTGCGGGCGATTCTCTCCGACGCAGAGATTGGGCATTTCGGGCAAAGGGCGTTGAAATCACTCACCGAATTACTAGAGAACCAGCCGAAGATTTTCACAAGAGGGGTGTTTTACGAGCTGAGCGTCAACGGCAGTCAACGGATTCTCGCGGGCTTGTTGATGCGATTGCTCGACGCGCCGCAGGATTGCTTTCGAGTTGCGGAAAGCAGTGGTGGTCAACATGGAGCAGGAGGATTTGGAACAACAACGGCAGTGAACAACTACAACGGAACATTGTTCCATTCAGGAGACCACACAACATCAACCACGAAATCCACGAATTCTTTTCAACGAATTATGTCCAAAATTCTCCAAATCGACTACATTCCGAGACGGATTGATTTCATGGCGGGGGGCAGGTACCAAAGACGGAGCTACTACGAGGCGATTTACTATGGAAGCGTCAGGATCGAAATCGTCAGAGTTGAAATAATTTGTCATGCATAAAATGGATGCCGCTCGAAATCCATTTTCCAAGTGGCGCATGACAAATTTGGGTGGAACCGAAATCCAGTTTGTCATGCTGTTTGGGTAAGGAAGACGCCTTTTGTCATGCTACTTGAGCGCCTCAGTTTCTACCCCTCAACATGCTTACAATCTGCCTCACTTGCCTACTCTGCAAGACAGGCACTTTGTGGGCTGCATTTTATGCATGGCAAATCATTTCAACTTTGACGATTTCGATCCTGACAGATCCATATTTACGACCTTGCGACAAACTTGATCGACGAATCCGATATGCTGTGCAAAAGAAGTATCGTACTCGTATAAATGCATTACCAATTTCCTCAGCATGAGAAATAAAATTAAAATTTGTCATGTGGATTTACCTCAGGAAAAAAATTTGTAATGCATGACTGCAATTACTACGAGTACGAGCACGATACTTTTGCACAGGATATCCGATGAGTACTTGCACGTGAAACAGTGGCTCACGGTGGCGAAGGGTTCTTCATCTCGTGGCGTAGTAGTCGTACCCGGAGCAGAAGAACTTGCAGCTGTTGGACTTAAAAATCAACGACCAAAGACGTCGGAGGTCTCGCAGCCAGCACCAGCACCAGCTCAGCAGCTCTCCACGCAGCAAAGCAAATCGCTCATTGCGACGACGAAAGAGTCCATCGCGAGGGCGGACGAGCTGGGATGCAAGTGGTTGAAGGAGATTTTTACGAGAGCAGACATCGCTGTTTTCGCCTCCGAGCAGCGCGACGCCGTCCTGCAGGCCTACTCCCTCGCCTTTAGCAATTGCAGGAGATTGATCAAACTCGACAAGTCCCTGCTTTTCAAGCACACATGGCTCAAAGACTTCTACTATCCCGTGCAAAAGTATCGTAGTCGTACTAATGGCAATCATGCATGACAAATCTTGTTTCTTAGCGAAATCAGCATTACAAATTCCATTTTTCCTTCTGGAAAAATTTGTATTGCGATTTATACTAGTACGATACTTTTGCAATGCATATCTACGAACGGAACTACGAGGCTCTGGTGGTTTTCATCACCGCGAAAAATGTGTTGGAAAACGTGGAAACGGTTAGGCAGTGGCTTATGGGAGTGTCAGAATCGAAAACGACAAAGTCGAAAAATTTGTAATGCATAAAATGTAGGGCACGCAAGGCCTGTATTGGGGAACAGGCAAATGGGGCCGATTGCAAGCCTGTTTAGGGCTAAGCAATGTGCTGCCCGAGTAGCATGACAGGAGCAGTCTTCTTTGCCCAAACAGCATGAGAGACTGGATTTGGGTGCTCCCGAAATTTCTCATGCGGCACTTGGAAACTGAGGCTCTAACTGGCATCGATTTTGTTTTGTCGATTTCGATTCTGACACTTCCATATGGCTCGTGACGCAAGTGACGTTGAATAGGGGTGACGTTCTTGAGGCGGATAATTCTCGGAAGAGTGAAGAACCTCGCGGACGAGCATTAACAGGACCACCCACGACACCGGCATCGGCTTCAGCACTGCCAGCGGGAGCTTCCAGAGAGGATAAGGATCCGAAGGGACCAGCAGTACAGTCGGAAGGAGGTGGCTCTTTTGCAGCAAAGTGGTATAAGCAGTTCTTCGAGTACGTTGACAACGCAAAAGCGGCGATGGAGCAGCATAACGCATCAACGAGGACGACCACGAAAAACAGTTCGTCAAATCTGGAAGCTTTGCTGTCACAAGCACCATCCTCTTCCAATAAAATCGGCACCAGTGGTCTCCTGTGTCTGCTCTTCGATATCATCCATGTCACCTATTTCTACGAGGAGGACAGAATAGCCATGCAGGCCGACCCACTGAGCTTTCTGTTGTACGGGTTTGAAATTGGAAACGAAACAGCGAAGAAGAAGAACACGAACAAAAACTGCGATCTGCAGCACTTTTCCCTGATCACTGCCATGGGTGTCATTACCGAGGGGGCAGAGGGAAAGGAGATGGAGAGCACCTTCGCGCGGTTGATGCAAGAATTCGGCTGTAAAATTGTCCGGGCGGACACCGGAACCGCGCGGCACTTAGAGTACAACTCGTCGCAGATTCAGAAAGCGATTGTGGCGCACTTGCGGCAAGAAGAACGAGCGGGAGACGGGAATAATGTTAATGCCACTGACACAGACACATCATCCGCTGCACTGTCGCTGAACGAGAACTACAGGAGCACGCCTGATGAAGAACATCAATTACACGAAGACCACACAACACTACTAGAAAGCGGCAGCGAGATCGAGCGTCAGACGCAGCTGAAACCGCTCCGAAACCGGAAGCACTGCTGGGCCTGGTTGGGTATGCATTGCAAAAGTATCGTACTCGTAGTAATCGCAGTCATGCATTACAAATCTTTTTCTTAAGGGAAATCCGCATTACAAATTTTATTCGTCATGCTGCGGGAATTTTTCATGCGATTTATACTAGTACGATGCTTTTGCATTTCATATTGGGATACTCCCAGGGAAACGCGAATTTTTGGAAGGCGGAGGCGGAAATGAACTCCGGTACGCCGGAACAGCAGGAATTACTGAAGACCCTCGTTTGCAGACACAGCTTATACTCCGCGGCGAATGGCACCCCACAGGCGACGATTCTGGAGCAGCGGATCAGCGAATGCGCCGCGGAGTTGGAGTTGCTGCTGAAAAATGTGCAATTGCATATCACGAATAATTTGTCCAAATTGTTGCTCTCTCTCATGCAGACCGTTTTCGCGAGTCGCGCGTTCGTGTTTGCGATTGGTGGTTTACACAGCTTGAACCACGTGGGAACGATCAGGGGCTTGTGGCGACACGCAATTATGAAGGAGAACGTGCCGACGACGGCGGTCAGGGCGGTGTCCTGTGCGAACGACCTGCCGGAGTGCTTGGTGTTCATCAGCAACCTGCTGTGGACAGGGGGGAAGAATGTGCCCAGGGATAAGCTGAAGAAGTGCAGCTCACTCCTGCTAGGGACTAGTTCAACAGGTGGCACAGCAACTGGTCGAGCTCATGGAGGAAGTGCACTTGATGTAACAGGATCTCAGTACGACGACCGCTCCGCTCCTCCACACACTTCACCCCGAAAGAAAACCACAGGGAAAATAAATGCCGCAGCTGAGGTCTCGTCCTCGAGACCATCTTGCGCCGGAACAAGAACGAACAAGACCACCGCAACATCCTCTCGGTTTGTCACAGTGCGCGAAGACAACTCCTCTGGGGTCGAGGATGCTGAGGATTTTTCTTCTGCTGAAGAAACATCGAACTACATCAACCTGGGGAACAAGAACGTCAATCACCCCTCTTCCTCTACCGGAGCAGGCCTTGTCTCCTCAAACGCAGTCAAGATTCGCGACTCGATCGCGAAACTGGTGAACATCTATCCTGTGCAAAAGCATCGTACTCGTACTAATTGCTTTCATGCGTTACAAATCTTTTTCTAAAGGCAAATCCGCATTACAAATTCAATTTGTAATGCTGAGTCAATTTGTATTGCAATTTATACTAGTACGATACTTTTGCAATGCATAACATCCCGAAGGACCTGAAATTTTCCAACCACGACAGCCAAGTCACGGCGTTCGAAGCAGAACCCTACCCAGTGTACTTGATGTCATCGAGCAGTAAGGTGGTAGAGCTGCATCAGAACAACTATCTTTCAGCAGGCGGAGCTGCAGGAGGATCATTTGCACAACAGCACGCAGCTTCGGCTTCCTCGTCCCCCACTCCGCAAACGGCTGGGATGAATGCTACAACTGCCATCCCCCCTCCACCACCTACCGCTACCACTGACACCAACGCCCGCATGCTGAAGCGACAGCGCATGCGCAACAAGCTGCAGCGAGGCCACCACTGGATGCCGTTATCAGAGGCAGAAACGGGTTTTTTGATGACGGACGCCGACCGGGTGCGGGGCGTGTACGACTCCAGTCGGGATAAGCTGGTTTTTCCCTTTGTTTTGGTCAACTGCAGGTTCGGAATCATCCCCGACGCAATGGTGGAGGAGGACGAGGAGGGGCTGTGAGGTGGTGTTCGGGTGATGTGGAAAACGAAAAAGTAGGACGAATGTTGTGAGCGGGGGTAGATGAGGAAGAAATTATTGGTCGTCTGGTTCTGAACATCGCGACAGTAGCATTCTGGTGTAGTGGTCTGTTCTAAGAACCATCTGAAAAATCTATTTTGACTTTATCTTCCGAGCGCATGCAGCAGATAGTGCAGAGCTCAAAAATTATCTGCGTTCTTCATGCAGTTACACTTACTTCATGAAAGGCATAGACATATCACTACATTTACTACACACGGCGCGTCCGTCGACTCATCGCGCAGGTGGCGCTATGAAAGTGCGATAATATTTCAAGGACGAACAACGTCAAATTTTGCTTTTTTTTTGCACAACACGCAGACGTCGGCTGCTACATGTAAATGCGCTCCCACTAAACGTAATACGAATATCAATATCTTGAATTATTGCCGCGGCCTCGACGTCAACATGCCGCAGAGCTTGTGTTAGTAGATACGAGAATGCTGCTGCTCCTTCAGAAGATGATGAACTCGTGAATACTCCGAAATATTTGCTGGATGGATGAAGATACGAAAATAAATGAAACAAAGACAGAGACGCGTTGCGTCTTGTTGATCTACTACTTAATCAAGCACAAGCATAGAGGATATATTAGTTTTCAACGCGTCATGAAGATGAATGATGAACCAGCGCGCGGCATAGAACCGCGCAGCTTGCTGGTTTTTTCCGTTTCATGAGACGCACAAGAGGAACACCAGAACGGCTTCTGTTAGGCAAGACAGGACGCTTCGAGGTTTTCCTTTTCTCTCAAGTTATGAGCATGCGTGTTCGTCAGAGGTGACCGATTCGAATTCAAACGGCCACGCAAAAGCAGAGCTTAAGTAATTGCGTCAGACGGGGCCAGTGGCTAGCTGGGTAGCCGGTGCGGTCGGCCAGGCGCCCCGCGCGGCGGGCCGGGCCCTAGAAAGTGCGGGCGAAGCGAGCCGCGCGCCGTTGTGCCCCTGTTTGGAGCACGAGCAGCCCCGCCCCCGGGGAAGGTTGGGCGGGAACCTGGCGCACCCCTTTGCGGGTGGCGGGCTTGTCTGCGCCTTCAACGAGCGCACGCGGGGACGCCCCGGCCAAGGACGTTCACCGGAGCAGCTCATGACCCTCCTGGCGGGGCGCCGGGGCATTTGATTGGCCGGCGGGCTGGCTCGCTTTGGGCGTGTGCCGATCGAAGCGCTGCGGCCGTCGGTCCGCCCGCCGGCCCGCGACGCGACGGGCCCGCCCGGCCGGCGCAGTTTCGCAGGCAGCCCGCAGCCTTGCAGGAGGGAGGCAAGCGCAGGGACTGCCTGCCCTGCGCACAATGGCCAGGCGCGCGCAGGAAGCATGCCGGAGTTGGAACCGCGAGAGCGAGACTAATCAGCCGCCGCGGTGCCTTGCGTTCATAGTAGACGGGGCCCGTCCTGGTCTCGGGCCCCTGTTTCCGTCCGCCGGGCGGAGCTGCCAGGGAAGCAAGCGCCAAGCGGCCGCGTGCCATGCCCGGGCGGCCGCGGCCTTGTTTCGATCGGGCGGAGCGCCCCCCGGTTGTGCCGGGCCGGGGGGCCTCTGTTTCTTTTGGTTTTCTTTGCAGGGCAGGCACGCAGCGGCCGGCGCGATGCACGGCGGCCGGCCTTTTTCTGTGTGAGTCGGTGGAGTGTGTGGGCGCGCAGGCTCCGCCCTCCCCCGCGCCTTGCAAGGCCGGCGGAGGTTTCGGAGGGAGATTCGTTGCAGCCCCCTGTCTGTGCCAGCGCGCGGGTGTGTATGGGGTGGCGCGTCTGGCGTATTGCAAACGGCCCTCGGCGCCGCCCGAGCGCCCTGCGTGGGTGCGTGGGTGCCCGGAAGTCACTTAATGGCGTCAGTTTGCTTGGCCTTTTGATTTCGCCCGCGCGCGCGCGCCCGCCGCCGGTTCATTTCGGTGAAACTGAAACTGAGAGCCAGCCCCCTGCCCTCTGTTCAATTAGAAGAATCCAGGTGAGGCCGCCCACGGTGAGTGGCGCCAGGGCATTTGGTGGCCTCTTTTGCGGTCGCGTAGCCCCCCACCTAAGTAGTGGAGATCGATCTCTTTGGAGTTCCATGTGGAGTCAGCATCTATGTATCGTTCTGCAGCAGTGCGTGCTTTTGTTTCTGATTGAGAGAGTCCAAATCTTCCATGCATAAAAAAAATTGCTATACGAATTCTTTTTAGACGGCACGACAGGGGTCATAAGTACTTCTAATCGAAATCTATTTCTTTTCTGTTATCTATTTCATTTGAATTTAATTCGTATGTATCAGTGGTCTTGGATTTGGTCTTCTTCATTTGCCTTTGATGTAGACGACTAAAGCAGACGATTCCGCTTAGGGCGACATGCAAGCAGACGATTCCGCTTAGGGCGACATGCATCTCTCGTGCAAGGTGTTGTGCATGTGGATGCGCATCGAGGAAGAATTGCAAGCGCAAATCGTATAATATTGATGAACCGACCGGGGGACAGCGAGATTATGATCTAATACATGACCATGGAACAGCGTCTCTCCGTTCTCTCCGGTGAACTCCAACAGATCGAAACCCTCGTCAACCAAGAGGAAAAAATCCGGAACGCGGTACAAACCTTGTTCGAAAAATACTTCGAACTAGTCGACCAAACCGAGGCGGAGTGGATGGTGCTGATTCATGAAAAGCTCCTTTCGATTTCCAAAATGCCTAATGCAGCGACGATTCCAGGTGGACGAGCAGGTGCAGGAGCAGCTTCGTCATCTTCGTCCTCTTCCTCCTCATCTCCGCCAAAAATAAACGAAGGCGCCGAAGCTGGTGCTGGGGAGATGATGAATGCAAGACAAGTTGACATGAAGAAGAAACATCTCCGAAGACTGCAACTAGACCGGGAAAAAATGCGCGTTCGCTACGAGGACTTCGAAAATCGGGAGGCTTTGAATCTACCGTTCTTGTACGGTTTGCTGAAGAAGAAGATGCGAAAAATTTTTCTTCGGTCCCATTCAGGAGCTGCGTCGGGTAATGGGGGTGAAGTTGATCACGTGGACTCCAACAAGAGCTTTGCGAGATTTTTCAAGAAAATCAAGGACGTTCCCTTCCTGGAGGAGCATTTTGCTGAAGCTGGGCAACTACAAGAAAGTCATCGCACGACAGAAGGAGCTCCTCGGAACGGAAAACGACCCGCACAAGAAAGGAGCAAGCAGCCCATTGGAACAAGCACAATTTCGGCGGGCACCTTTGAAGATGTTGATGTACCAGTCGGAAGACAGAACCTTCAAAATCCGTGGTTTCAGATTCCGAAAAACGCGAAAGCAGCGGCGCGGGCCTTGGAATTTTTCGAAAATCATAACGACGAGGAGGCTATCAGTAGTGGCTCGGAAGATTCGGATTCCTGTTCATCCTCCGCCACAGGGGATAGACGCGATTCTGACGTTTCCGCTTTCTCTGGAAAGCAAAACGGGAGGGAAGCGCGAAGGGTTGATGATGTGCGAGACCGTGAGGCACAAGTACGTTCTGGTGTTTCTACTTTCTCATCTGCCACTGAAGCAGCTAGCCCTGCAACTTTCAGTTCCTCGACATCATTCACGCCATTTTCCTTCAAGTTTGGCCAGAACCAAGGCCGGGTGGATCATGGTGCTGTGTCTTCACCGAGGCTCGACGCTTTCAATGACAGTGGGAGTAGTGGCGCTCCTATTGCTCCTTGGTCAGGATCAGGCTCCGGAGCGTCATCTTCGTCTTCCTCTGCTTCGGCAGCGAGCTCTTCGAAGATGCCGCAGAATAGACACATCAGCCAAAGTGTTGGAAGTGGTAACTCCGCCACCGGACGCAGCAGTTCTAGTCTCTTCTTGCCAATGACGAGTCAACATATCAGCACTTCATCTGGTGCGCCACACCAGCAAAGGCATCAAACCACGCCAGCTAGTACATCAACGGGCACCAGCAGCTCGAGCTCCGGCAACATGTTCGTGTTCCACAATGGTGGCGAGCCCATCGATCTTCGTCCGCGGCATGTTGTGAGAACTGGGACCGCTGCGACGGATGATTCCAGTCTCGGCACGACGACCCTATCTCGGCGCAGCACCTCCTCTTCCTCGAGAGGGAGAAAACTGTCTACCCCCTCATCCTTACAGATCCTTGCGGGCGACGACGGTGGTTCCTCTTCGTCACCCTCTGCCTCTGGATCGCCATCGCCACAGTCAGCGTCACCGCCGGTGTCGCCAAGGATGGCGCCAGTAGATTCGAGGACATTTATTTCGCAAGAAGAAGAGCCGACGTCCAGGGCGGGGGCTACTTCTTCATCTTCGACTTCGAGAAGGTCCCGTAGGCGGAGCAGGCCGCGGCGGTTCGACATGCGAGGAGATGTTGATTCTCGGCCTGGGGCATCATCGGCTGCGCTTGATACGGGCCTTCCTAATTTTGCTTTGTCGAGCCACAGCCAGCAGCTGGATCATAGCACCAGCAGGGCAGCAGGATTCTCTACTTCGTCAGCGGCACGCCAACGCGAGGACGATCTTTCTACCCGCCCCGGCCCAACTGCTCGTCCTGGTTTAGCCGTGTCATCTCGATCCGCTGTGCGAAAGGCGAGAAAGCGAGATCGCGATTACCGGTGAAGAGGGGTACGACGTCTAAGAGCTCTGTTGAAAAAACAAGACAGAGACAGAACATGTTCCTTCGTGTGTCAGAGTCGATGTTGTCTTTGTGTAGTACAACATGCTTAGCTTGCTTCTGTAATAGTTGGACAAAGCCTGTCCACCATCATGCGGCTCTATAGACGTGATGTTGATCAATGAGAACGCGAACTCTTGCTGACCCCTTAATACTGATGAGCATCGGCTGGTCGTGTTCAGCGCTGCCTGCAGCAATATTCTATCTCTCGTCTATTTGTGGAGAAGTGCTGGAGCGCCATGAATTGAAATTGTGCTCTGAGTGGTGCACAAAATGAAAAAATAGAAAAACAATGAAGATGAACAAATTGAGCGAGTTCGCGTTATTCTATCTTGGAGAGAAACTCTGGCAAGAGGGGGGCGAGAGGAGCTAGAGTTTTGAGACGGACTCTTCGTCGTTCGTGTTTCTTTCGTGCTGCTAACTGCACTAGCGATACTCACATACTCGATCAAATTACGGCGCCAAAGCTGCTTTTCATCCACCTTTTCGATTTACAATGTCATTGATGTCACTCATGGATTCATTTTCATTCGTATAGGTCGATCTATGTTTCACAACTTGGTGCAAGATAGAAAACCACTAATTTGTTTTTACTCTCTAGTCTGTGTCTGTCTGCTGATGTTGTTTAGATTCTTGTGATGGTATGTTGACTTTTTTTGCCAGTTAGTAGCTAGGCCGTTGATGCAGCAAGTCAGTGTGTTCAGCGTTTTTAGTACATCAACCTCATTCGAATTTCTGATAGATTTCGCGCAAGTTCATTTATTTTCCCAAAAAGGCGATGTGTGTTTGACTTTTTAGTGTGACACGACGTCGAGACTTGCTGCCCCGATAAACAAGAAAGAAACGGCGCAAATATTACGCACGTACCGCCCCACGAATGAAAAGCGACATCCTGTTGGAAGATTTCTAGAAGAAGAAAAAATCTGCTACCCGATTAGAAATACACTTCGTCTACTTTTGCTTTCCTCTGTGTGTGTAAATACAAATACCCTCGTTTCTAATCCGAGACAAAATTTGTCCTGTGAGCAAAACCCGAATTTTTCAAAATGACGGCTGTCCCCGTTCGCGGTCGGCGCTGGGCCGACTTATGACAATGCACAACTCTCCCTCCCCCTCATTTGTATAGTATGAACGGCAATACAAGCATCCGCAAGAGCGTCGGTTTTGCGTGACAAATTTGCACTGGATTGTAGTGCTCTTTGGGCTTCCAGGATTTGTCATGCAAACAGTGCTACAAGGCAGCAGCTGGATTTGGGATTTTGCATTCAAATGAGGGGGAGGGGGAGTTGTGCACTTTCATACGACTTTAGCGAAGACGATGAGGATGACAGCACGTCAAGTGACAACAATAACAACGGTGTTCTATGCAATGCAAAAGTATCGTACTGTACTAGTACAGATTGCATTACACATGTGCTTGGCATGATAGATGGAATTTGTAATTCTGTTTTACTTTTAGCGTATGCTTAGGAAGGCAATTTGTCATGCAGATCTGTAATTGCGAATGCGATACTTTTGCGTAGCATATGCTCTGTCGGGAAACAAAACTACGAAAAAGCACCTCCGTGCTGGTGCACCCCTTATCCGCCCGGATGACCATTCGTACCAAAACGCGCCCTTGTCCGAAGTGGAAAACTCGCAGCGGAGCATGCAGCAGGCTCTGAAGAGCCTGGATCCAGGGGCGAGCAACGGGTCAGCGGGGCATGGGGAGATGAAGCCGATGAAGAGGCTGAAGATGGCCGTCAAAATGCGAAAGAAGGAAATTGCGGAAGCGGAGAATAATTCAAATAGTGGGGCGGCACAAATGGTACCATAGCACTCATCTAGACATAGCTCTGGCTGGCTATGCGTACAGATAGTGACACACATCCATCGTGTGCATCGATTCACGTCAGGAAAAAAATGAAACGTCCAAAAATTCAATTACCTCAGGGCCTCCCCGCAAAAATACGGCAACAAGACGAAGCCCGACCACCGACCACAAACGCGGACTTCTCTTCCCTCTGCACCGAAAATCCCCAGTACGCCTGTTCCCAGGAGCGGCTCGAGTGCTTCGGGGAAGACAAGGTTACGGGTAAGAAGCTCCTCCGGCCGATGAAAAAACGGCAGAGGAAGGATTCCGTGACAGAAGTGGTGGCAGCAGGGGGCGGCGCGGCGTCCGATTTGAATATGAATTCGGGGGTGGGAGGAGGTAAAGGATGCGAGAGTCATGTCGTGTTAGCGTCCGAACAAGTCCAAAATTAATGATTAAAGTATGGCGTCGATTCATTTCAATGAAAAATGACAATATGATGCAGTAGAAGCAATATCGCATGGCAAAACCACTTCAAAACATCAGATGAGCCCGCCTCTGCGCAAGTTGCGGCCGCACGAAAATCCGGCGTCGCAAGGAAATCGCGAGCTGGCACTGCGTCTCTGACCGCAAACGGTGTAGTCGCCGTCGCGAAAGCCAAAGAGGACGGCCCTGATTGCGCCCAGCGTCCAGATGCAAAAACATCTGGCATGGAGCGAAAAAAGCGGGTTTCCACGCGGATTCAGCTGCTTCAGGCGTCGCCGGACTTTGTCAGGGACCGGGATAACAAAACCTCATCCACTTCGGATGTGGAGCAGGAGCAAGCGAATAGCAGTGCGAACAAAGCAGGAACCTTGCACCAGGTGGTAGCTTCAGCTGCGTCAAAGCAGCGGCAAAATGGCGGAAGTTCGTCGTCTTCTAGCAGCTCGTCCTCTGCGGCAATGAATAACGCTAGGTCGAATGGCAGCGCAGTTGCAGGGGCGGCGGATGCTGCGTCGATGAACGGAAAGACGACAAGTAGTGTCGGTTCTTTGCAGCTTGTTCGACCACGTGAAGACCAGCCGGTAAGTAGATCAAAAACCGAGATGTTGAACACATCAAAGACAAGCACCGCACGGCCACCGGCAAGCAGTTTGTCAGCGTTGTCAAGGACTAGTGCAGGAGCGGAAGTAAACAAGGAGCACGAGGAAGTGGACCCTGATGTAGTTGACAAAGCAATGTTGCAACATTCGCTAGTCAAGACCACATCGTCCAGCAGCTCTTCCTCGTCTTCCTCCACCACAGCTTCGAAGGAAAAGAAAAAGGTAGCAGGGGCCGTGCCCGAAGCCGAGCGGGCACGAGGAAATAAACTACAGGCTGAGCAGCTGCAGAACGGCGCCGTAGTGGATAAGCAACTGCAACACCAACAGAACGGGGTTGCTGAGCAGAGCGCTCCTGTCCTCGTAGATGACAACATACAAGACGTCGAAGACCTTTCCCTGGACCACACGAGCGAAGCGGGAGAGGAAGACGACGATGATATCAGCCTGGGTTCGTCAAGAGATCAACAAGACGAACAAAACGATCGAAACGAAACGACATCTCAAGTAGAGCCAGGTGATTCTGAAATGATGAACATTTCAGGACAACAAGACCCGATTGGCAAGAAAGCGAAAAAGCGGGGCAGGCGCAGGCCAAAAAACCCACCCGCTGGTCCTCACAGCATGAACAACGCCGGAACACCATCTGTGGATCATGAAACAACGAGCGCGATCGAAGAAGCTTTCGCTTTCGTGGAGCGGCAGCAGCAGAAGGGGAACAAGCAGCAGCAGGTTATGTTTGCGAGAGGCGACGGTGCTTCTATGGCCATACCGCCAGATCAGCAGCTCCTGTTTTGGAGCAAAGCCGCGGGGTACAGCAAGGGGTACAAACAGGGGACAAAGCAAGCAAAGCAAGGGTCGCAGTCAAAGGGCAAAGGCGGTAATGACTTTGCCTCTTCTACCGCGATTGCAGCCGCGAGTAGTCAACATGACGGTGCTGCTGGGAAACAAGCTGTGAAGGGCAAGGGAAAATCCAAATCGAGCAAAGGGGCCGCGGGCAAGAAAGGCGAAAATCCATGCAAGGGCGGACCTGGAGGAGCAGATTTTTCCTCGGGAACCGGTCAACAGCAGCTGTACGTCCACGTCCAGCCGGCGACGTTTCACACACTGCCCCCGGAGGTAGTGCAAGACATTGTCGGCGGCGGGCCGGACTTGATCGCGCAAAAAATCGAGCATCACAAGATGATGCGGAACTTCGGGAGACTAGTTGCTTCACCCAGTAGTAGTGCTGCGGGGATGAGCAACAATAATAACGCTCCTTCGCACAACAGCAACGAGCAGGCCTTTAGCGCTAGTACGAACGGCCATCAGCAGTACGACCTCCAGCAAGGTCAGAACAACCCGCTTCCGGCTGGCGTTTTTGACACGAGTTTTTCCACGATAATAGACGCGGATCTGAACAAGCCAATCAGCGAGTTTTTTAACAAAACCGTCGGGAAAGAAAATCTGTTGCAGAAATCCTTCATGTCATCTTCCGAGTCTCTGTCTCTATTCAAGGAAGAAAACGACTTTTCCTTCAACGGGTGCCCGGGCGCGAGCAACGGGCTGCGCATGGAAAACTTGTTGGACCTGCAGATGTATGATTTGCAAAAACATCGTAGTGGTCTCCTAGTATAAATTGCAATGCAAATGTGCTCAGCATGAGAAATAGGATTTGTTATGCTGTTTTACTTTTGGGTTGAGATTTGTATTTGTAATGCATATCTGCGATTAATACTACGAGTACGATGCTTTTGCATTGCATAAGATGCCGACCGCAAACCACACGACGACAATGACCACGGTTACGCCCGTCAGTGCGGTGGATCACAATACTAGTACCAGTTCAGAGTTCGGAGCAGGGCCTCCAGGGGGCTCTATGCAGCAGCCGGGTGCAGGAGCTGCATGCGATAGCACTGCAACTGGCATGAATTCTAGTTCCTCACTCAGCAAAACGCCACCGCCGCCAGCTGACAGCATAGATGTGGAAATGAAGTTGTCCACTTCTTGTAGCGCCGACAGACCCGCAGTTGAGCAAAGCCCCGAGGATCTCGCGGCCCTTATCGCGGCCGGGCAGCTGATCCCGCTGCCGAGTGATAGTATCAATCCCGGAGGCCGCGACACCAGCAGCACGAATACGGCCGGAGGAGATCAGGATCCTAACGGTGCTGGGGCAGCTGATCTTCGACGGCAAAACACGGTGAACAGCAACAATTCGGAAATTGACGACATGTTTGATATCAGCTCCCTTGAAAACGGCAGCGACAACTGCTCCTCTATTTCCGGGTTTGGGGGTGCATCTGACAACAACTCCGTGGAGAATTTCAGTTTCAACTGGCCACAGAACGGCGCAGGATCTACTTCGCACTGGGGAATAAACAATGGCACTGCAAGTGGCGTTGACAGCAGCCTCCTCTCTTTCGACCAGTTACTGGGAGTAAACAATGCGCCAGGAGGTATGATGTTTTTCCCGAATGACCAGAATTTCCCCGGAGGTTCTTGTTCTTCCGGTCCGCAATCAGTCGAATCTTCGTCGCGAAGAGGAAGAAAAATGAAGCGTAAGGGGGCAGCTGCTTCTTCTGACATCTCTGGAGCCAGCAGTAACGCGAGCAGCAGCTGCTACAACCACAGTCTCTTGAACCAGAGCAACTGTTCCTCTATTTCCTCTTGTTCAGCGATGCCAGAAAATAAGGAAACCGGCGAGCTCAATCCGCTTTTCCACAACCAGGTTTTCATCCCGCACGAAGTGAGACAGGAAATGAAGAAGGCCCTGCTCACCGCCCGAAAAACCGGCGATGGGGTTCTGATCGCGCTGAACAACGAAAAGATCTGGATCCCGCCTGATTTCGACATTGCGACCTTTGACAGCGACCAACCCATCTTCATGCCACCAAATCTGCACCAGGCCGTGTCCGCGCTGGCAACGCCCGGGTCGGTGTTTCAGCGGGAGTGTGAGCAGTATTTACGAAAAACGGACGAGAACGAGCTGAAACTGCGGCTCGCGGCGACCGGGGAAAAGATCACGGAGGAATTAAAGCCGGAAATGATCCAGAAACCACCCGTGGATATTAAAAGTGAAAACGAATTTCCGGCTTTGGGTGCTGGTGGTGCGGCAGGTATTTCTTGTGCCCCTCCTGTGAATTTCAATACGAAAGTGCCGCTGTTGTCCACGGACCTAGAAGTTCAACAGCATCCCGAGGAGGAGAACCAGAAGAACACGACCACCGCCGCAGCAGCAAGACCTGCGGAAGAGAACAGGCTCCACCCAGTCTGGGCGCAGAAAAAGAAGCTGAAAGAGGGAACGGAAGACCAATGCAACTCCGGCACAACTTCGGGAGGAGGTCATGATGCTGTAGTCTCTCAGGCGGGTCCTTACCAAGTGGAACACCAATCATCCGTCTCGTCAGAAACCAACAAGCTCACCACCGCGGCGTTAGCGAGTCTTGTAATGGACCAGAACAAAAACCTGTCTTCGAGCATGGTGAGTAACAAAACCATACGCATTGCAAGTATGTCTGGGTCTGGAACATTGCAAGACTTGTCACGCAGGTTTTCCCATGTGTTCCATGTCACAAAAAAATTTTCCGTATAAAATCATTGATCTATTTTAATTAAGCTCTTGCTCGTAACGATCCTTTTCCTTACTCGAGCGCTGTGATAGTTCTTAGCTTAACTATTTTCGAATGCGCATTTGGGGAGAGGGTCATGAACGGTAGTAGTGTCAGCGAATAGTAGTGAGCATGCACCCACGGTGTGCTATTCGCACGGCCATGACACTACTGCGCGAGCACCCACAGGCTCCCAGGTGCCTAGCGCTTTGGCCAGCGTAGCAACTTGGTAGAGCCTGCGGGACCCCGTGGGCAGAAGTTCACTGCACCCAATTTGTATGTAATGTTGCGCAAGTGCAAGCACAAGTAGTAATAGTAGTCAGTTCCACCGGTGGACATTATAGCATGCTTTCAATCTCTCTCTACATGCGTATCTACGTAGTTCTCTTTTACTTTTCTTTCTTCAAAAAGTTTTCCCTGTGGCTGTGCTGTGCCAAGGTCTTGCTTCCAGACAAAACACCAGACATATTTGCATTTGATAAACCATATCCAGCACTACCTCCTCAACCTCCGAACAGGTCGGGGGCGCAGGAGCAATGGCATCTTCTTCACGACTGGGAACTGATTTCTCGTGCTCGTCCAGCGCGTCTTGCGCAAGCTCTTCTGCCACCTCTTCCGGAGCAGCTGCAGGAGCCGCGCCGATGGCGAATCAACTAAACGGTCATCGACCGGGACCGCCGATGTTTGCTCCGCCAGCGAGGCCATCATCCGGAATGCAACAGCCTTTCATCTTCATGGATCCCATGGTTTCACAAACCAGTGTGCCGCCGACGATACGGGAGGGCGCGGAGGTAAAAAAATTGAAATTTTTGCTCTGCCAAGTGTTCGTTTTTTTTGTGCGCATGATGTTTACTTTGTTTTGTTCTGGTGCCGTAAGTTCCAAAATGTCCGGAAGATCTTAAGTCAGGAGAAGACTCATGCATGCATGCACAGTTGATGTAGTCGTAACGCATGCAAATGCAGCACGGAGATTTAGATATTGTCCAAAGAACAGATACATACAATGAAAAGGAAGTTCTGTTCTGAGTTCCTAGTTACCTCTCGGTCACTATGAAAGCACGAGTTATGGAAAAAAAGAAAAAACTATGGCCACGAAAATATCAATATCAGTTCATCGGCGGCCTGCTTGTCCACGATAGTGCGAATCAAGGTTCCAAGCGGCACCGAACAACCACCGCTTCTGACGCAGCGTCTTTTGAGTCCTTGGTCTTAGAGAAACCCAGCAAGAAAAAGACAAAGTATAGACAGCAGCTTCTGGTTTCAGTTTTTTTCTCATGCTGGCACGCTAGCGCTTCAGAATCAGAAGCGAGCATGGTTCGGTTTGCATGACAAGAAAAACTGCGCCGTCGTCTTATCTTGCAGTATCGCATGGCAAATATTCCCACAAACACAAACTAACAGAACCATGCACGGCGGACCGGAGCGGAACCACAGGAGGGATGCCATTGCGCAGCGAGACCTTGCGCTGGATGGTATACATGACAAAAGATTTTCACTTTCAGTTTTTCATTTGCATTTCCACATGACAAAGTCAGTACGATTTTTTTCTCCACCATGCTAAAATCCCACGACACCAGATGACGCGCAAAGCACGATGACGACCAGTAGCAACCTGACCGCGTCCCTGGATCCAGAAAAACAGTTGGAGCGGTATGCCGGTGTATTGAGAGGAAAAATCCCCCCTCCCCATATTGAAAAGGTATGTTTCCGAAAATTTGTGTTGCGGATTTGAGGCCACAAATCACATCTGTCTTGCAAGAAGACAAGGGCAGAAGCTTCCGCCCCATTATGGAAGCGATTTCTCATGCTGTTAGGCCTAAAGGGGAGCCGTTTGCCATGCTGAACAACTAGACACATAAGCCCCTACCTAGCCTGGGGATCTGGCCGCCATTCCTCTCCGCTATACAAAGCTGATTTGTGGCCACAAATCAGCATCACAAATTTCCGTTTTGATATGGGGAGGGGGGATTTTTCATTTTGATACGGTGAAGTCGGTGCTTTCAAGCAGACAAACTTCTACAAGCGGCTGTGTATCCAATGGAAATTTATTGCCGGAGATGCATGTACAAAAAATACCGACCACTTTGTATGACAAGTAAACTCGTGGTCTTCATCTACTTGTATAGCTATCCAGCCATTGCTATAGCTATCCAGCATGTCAAAGCTCCTTGTTACATACAGTCAGAAGTATGTCAACATGCATTTTGTACGTCGCACACGGCAAGAACAAATTTGTATTGCATATTGTGCGAGCTGTGTGAAGAGCAGAGAGCGCAGTCAGGAGTCGCCGTCGGACAGGAATTCGAAATACCGGACCGGCCAGGAATATGGAAGTGTCAGGATTGAAATCGTCAAAGTTGAAATAACTTGTGATGCATAAAATCGATACCAGTTGGAAGCCCAATTTCTAGGCGGCGCATGACAAATGTTTGATGGAGCACCGGAATCCAATTTGTCATGTTGTTCGGGCACAGAAGACTGACTGCTTTTGTCATGCTCCGTTAGCAGCTCTATCCCAAACCCTAATTAGGCTTGTAATCTGCCTCCCTTGCCATCCCGGCAAGACAGGCGCTTCATGTCTTGCACTTTATGCATGACAAATCATTTCAACTTTGACGATTTCGATCCTGACGCTTCCATACGGAACGCCACTGATGAAAAAGGGCGACTCGAGGAGATTCTTCAAGTATTTTTACGAAAGTAGAGTTACTTCATTGGATCATTGCTGCTTTGTGTGACAAGTGCATTGCTTCCTTTTGTGGTATGAGCTTGACTTGAATATGCATTGTTTTGAACTACTTGGAGTTAAAAAATGCGATGAAGGCTGAGAAAATACTTCCAAACCAGGAAACAATTCGAGACGTGGCGCATCGATGTGCAGAATTTCGTCGCGCAAAGGGACTCCAGCGTGCCAACGAATCGACGTGATCCAAGCATGATTTACCTGTATCCGGTATCACAGGAAAACGTGTTAACGTTAACGGAATTTGTAATGCGGCATTGCCGCATCACAAATTCAGCACCTTTTTAGATGCATTGCCGCAATGCATCTAAAAAGGTGCCAGCATTTGTAATGCATAGCATGTATGTTCGTGATGCATGACTGCAATCTGTAAAAATCGTTAACGCTAACGCTTTTGCTTGTGTTGATATCCGGAAGGAAGGGCGGCTGCCATGAGGAACCCGAATTACATTCCGACCAAGGCCATCACGGGTGTAGTTGCCGGGTCGAAAAACGAATCGTCCTCCGCGAGTGCGGCGTGTGGTGCTGATAAAACAGACGTGGTGGTAGATCAAGCAGGTGCTCCTCGCCAGGAGAACTAGCGGACACGTCCGTCAGGGGCGGTGGCGAACCTCCAGAAAGCGTATACTCACCAATCAGAGAGGACGACTTTGAGTGGTTAAGATCCACAGGGTAGTTTTAGTTTTCAATAGCAATGATTCAATATTTCTTACCGTTGATTTTACTTTTACATCCACGTAATAGAGCGAGAGAAGTCTTCAATATTCGCTACTAGGTTATGTCTTATCACAAGAAAATTATTCGCGGCAGGCAATGCTGATAGAAGAAACTCAGAACTTCATCAGATGACTCTTTTACACCTGAGCTTAACTTTTTCAGTAACACAAACACAAAATTCTTCTACTTCTACAGGCTGGTCACGTTATCTTATCGTATGAAAATAATGATCACAACTACCGACGGCAAGTCGGAAGCAGAAGTAGCTTTTCCATGCGCGAATCTTATTTCTGGCTAAAATATGGTCGCATGCTATTTCCTGATACTAGTTCTGGCTACGCATTGCGCCCCAATGTGGTGGTAATTCAAGAACAACTTCTTGAAGGAGACAGTATATTGGCCTGCTGGAACAAAAAGCGAGGAGGTCTACAGCTACAAGAACTTGTCCCTGGTGTGCTAGCACAAGAAAAAATCTTCTGGTGGTTAGTACGACCATATTAATGGCAGAGTAGACTAACAAGTAGAAGTCGGAATGTCGACTCCAGCTCCATTCCGCTCTGAACTGAGATTTTTAAACGTAATTACGATCTTCACTCTTCTTCACGATGATACTCACAGCTTTCAACACCAAAATAATTTTTATAATCACCAAATCGAAATCAACAACAAGCTGCGCTACGGCTACAGTCTTACCGGTAACTGAAAGAGGGTTTCAAACAAAATTTTGATGTGCCATGTCTAGTATTTCAACTCCCGGCTAGCAAGGAGCAGTGGTATGAATATGAACGGGGGTTGGTACGTGGCTGCTAATCGATATTAGCGGGGATGTAGTTGTCACAGACTTTTACAACACGAACTATAGCTGAGCCGTAGACTAGTTGTCCACTGCGCGTAAGTACTTTTACAGTAGAGTTTTTACAAGAAAGTTGCATTTCTTGGCTCGCTGCAAAAAGAGCGCGCTTATCATGGTTCCCGCCGGATCAATGTGACACATTGTAATTTGATGAACTTATTGTGCGCATTGGAGAGGTGAGGATCATGCGAGGAGAGAAGCCTCGTCGTGTCAGAAATCAATACCTTTCGTATAATTCCGCTCGTGTGAACCACAAACTCAACCAACTTTTTTTGATTGTGAACCCAATTTTCTTGTGTCAACCCTAAAATACGTTATTTTTCCAAGACCATCTTCTGTAGCTAGCTCGCTTTTGAAGCGCAGGCTGCTGCTTTCAGAGAAGCTTACAGCTTGGATGGCCATTAGATATCTGCGCGGTGAATTTCCGGTGATTTTTAGGGGTCTTCGAGAATTTGATGAGTGGCGCTGCACATATTTCTTCGGGGAAAAGTCGACGCTCACTTGATCGAAAAACCCGAGCAACGTAAGCTCCAAAAGATTTCCGGCAGTGGTGGAAGTTTTCAAGCAAAAAATGCGTGGCGGGGCGCCGCGATATATAGCTGCGCCGCCCGTGCCCTGCCCCTAGCCCGATGGGCTGCGAAGTAGCTTCGCGCGGCCCCCCTTGTTTTCTAAGTGCTTTGGATGGTTGGCCGGACCCTGGGGGCCGAATCTATCAGGCGCCTTTTGCTTCGGCAAACGGCACCACTTTAATTCCCCGTGAGAGCTTATTCCGTCCTGCTATTTTGTTCCTTTCGTATTTGTGCGTGCATGTTCCAAAAGGTTGGCACTTTCCTGTGCAAATTTCAGACGATTGTTCTGGCTTGGGTTTTTCGACTCCGGTGAATTTAGAAATGAGTAGCAAAATGGGCGTTGGTTTTGTGGCGGCTTTGAGTCCAGAATTAGGTGCGGAGAAGCTAAATTCACCGGACCCCATTTCCTAAATTCACCGGCAGCCCGAAACTAAATTCACCGCTAAATTCACCGATCGCAGCATACCATCGGGAAAGGGGGTGCTTTTAAGCTGTTTTTTGGCGCCAAACAGCACGGCACTACGCATCGGCGATTTTTACCAAAAAAAGCATCCTCATCATACCATGGGGAATGATGTTTAAATGCAAGCTTTTCCCGATGGCAGTGCCGTTTTTTTGCGATTTTGTTGTCCAAAATTAAAACGCTGAAGCTGAGCTATTAAGAAGGAAGGGAGAAACTCATGAAACCACCAAAAGACTTGCTTCGCGAAAAAAGACGCGGAGAAATGTGGTAGGTTGGGCGTTGCCGGGACGGGGATTGCAATCAATGCGAGGGCGCCGTGGTGACGAGCCCCGTGTCGCCATTGCCTCTATTTGTGCTAGCCCTTGCTCCGCGAACCATAACCACCCGAAAGACCGGCCCCACGATTCTATGCCACCTCTAAAATCACTCGAAATTCACCGCCCCTATATCTAATGGGCGTCCAAGCTGTAAAGAGAAGCAGACGCATGCTTGCTTAAGTTGTTAAAGGTGGCAGGTGCTAAGGCGGGGGAAGTTTCGAATGAAGGTATCAACAGAACCAGCACGGGCAGTGCCATTCAGAAATTCCGGGGAGCATGATCTCTTTACTCTTTTCACGGATCCACGACGTCGCATCTTGTGTAAAACTTGAAAAGGACAGAAATATCATGACAAAGTGGTTTCCAGAAAACAAATGTACAAATTATTCTTTATCAGTTTTTAAGCCGCTTTTGCCTTCTATTTGCGACTCACGTCGCAACCTCCACCTAGAGTATCTATAGACCTCTATTTCCTGTAGTTTAGTTGATTTCATTGTCATTCTGTTTCGTGTGGTGCTCGCCCTGACAGACGAGAAAGCCGACGGATGCTCTGCTACTAACTTGCTAGCTTGTGCTTCAACTTACTGCCACCAAAATGTACATCAAAAGGATACGAGTTTTGTGTCGTGAATTATCGTTACGAGCAATTCTATCGCGTTCACGACTACGTTTTGTTCTCGCACTACATCGAGGAAATAGGAATAGCAAAGTAAGCAAGCCACGGAACATCTTCAAGCTGCCCTTTGTAAAAAATAACAATTGAAATTGCTATTTTGTGGTCGACCACAATCAACGCTGTTGCTGCTACTTACCCTGCTGTCATGATGGTCTTCGGATATTGAAATTATTGGTACAATAGACTTGTAAAGGTTAGACTTAGAACTAGATGCTGAAACAAGTAGGCGACTTGTAATCGCACCGGTTGGAAGTGGGCGATGTGGACCTGTTTCTCTAAAAAACAAGGACGCAGTGTGGTTGAAAGGTGTAGAAGCTGCAGCGCCAGTATCAAGTGTTGATTTTCGGTCGACGAACAAACAAATGAAGATTAGATTGATAAGTTCCACCCAGGTTGTAGACGTGAGACCCAGACCGCATCGATGCGGGTTGGCTCTACCACGAGAGAGGTCGCTTGTTATTGTGAGAGACGCGTGACTGAGAACGTGGCTGAATGAGTGGATGTCATTTGTTATTTGAGCGAATGCTAATGAATTTGAATTCTGATGAGCGGCTGAAGACGAAGAGAAAAGTTTGAAAGTGATGAGCGGTAATATCACGAAAAGTAGACGAAGCAACATCTTCATCACGTTTATCTCCACTACTGCGGCGCGCCAGGTCCGTGGTTGTGTGGTCTCCCTCCTGCTAAAAGAACGAGACACCCAAACAGGGCACTTTGCCTTTTTGTGTAGAAAAAATATAATAGCTCCTTACAACTACTCAGCTTTTTTCCCGAGCGAAAAAAATGAGAATGAATGACCTTCAAGCAGGAATTTTTTTTTGTTTTCACGCCACCTTGTCTTAGTTCTGTTTCTGACTTTCTGACAATGCATGCGTCCTCCTGTGAAAATAAGTAAGTGGTGCTTGTTGCAAGATGGTACATTTTCCCGTTTCTGAGTGTAGTTTACCCGTCCCATCGATGGCCTCCAGTACTACCTTGTAGTTTATAAATTCTGGTATTTTTCATTATTGGCGTGAATGAAATGTCGAGAAAAAAAAAATACGGTAGAAAAAATCACAAAGCATCTAGAAAAAATCAAACCGGGCTCCCACTGTAGAAAAAACCAGTCGGGTGCTTTGAGAAAAATCGAGAAGAATGCGCGAAAAATTTTCTCCGCGCGCGCGCCGCGCGCGCGGCGAGGTTGTTTCTCAGCGTCTCTGCACATGGGGCGCGCCCCAATCTCCGTCTGTCGCTTGAAAAATTTTCTCCGCGTGCTGCGCGCGCGAGTTTCCTGCCTCGGCCTTCGTCTTGGCCGCCGAGTATGTGGGTGCGGTTCTTCTGCACACAATGCGCGGCCCCGCCTGGCCGCGTGGCCCGCTTGTCAGTCGCAAAAATTTTCTCCGCGCGCTGCGCGCGCAGCGAGGTGTCTTGTCAGCGCTCCCCACACATGGGGCGCGCACCTACCTCCGTCTGCCGCTTGGAAAATTTTCTCCGCGCGCTGCGCGCGCGGCGAGATTGCTTCTTCGCGTTCCCTACACATGGGGCGCGCCCCCCACCTTCGCCTGTCGCTTGAAAAATTCTCTCCGCGCGCTGCTCGCGCGGCGAGGTTGCTTCCAAACGTTCCCAGCACATGTGGCGCGCCCCCACCCCCGTCTGCCCTTTGGAAATTTCCTCCGCGCGCTGCGCGCGCAGCGAGGTTGCTTCTCAGCATTGCCCACGCATGGGGGGCGCCCCCATCTCCATCTGCCCCTTGAAAAATTTGCTCCGCGCGTTGCGAGCGCGGCATTGCTACCGTTGCCGTCTTCTTGGCCGCGAAGTATGTCGGCTCGGATCGTCTGCACCCAAAGCCGCGCGCGTCCGCTTGGTTGCGTGGCCTGCTTTTCGAAAAAATTTCCCCCGCGCGCTGCGCGCGCGGCGAGGTTGCTTCTTAGGGCCCCCCACACATGGGGCGCGCCCCCGCCTTCGTTTGCCGCTTGCAAAATTTTTCTCCGCGCGCTGCGCGCGCGGCGCGGTTGCTTCTCGGCATTCCCCACACATGTGGCGCGCCCCCACCCCCGTCGGCCCTTTGAAAAATTTTCTCCGCGCGCTGCGCGCGCAGCGAGGTTGCTTTTCAGAATCCCC